CCTTCAGACCTCGAAAGAAGTCTGTATAGGCCACTTCGCCTGATAATCCTGGAATCTGAATTCTCATCAGATTGAACCGTCTGACGTACGACCGGAGGCCCTCCTGGTCGCCCTGCTGTATTGCCCCTAGGTCGAGGCTAGTCTTTTTGGCAGGAATATTCATTGAGAAATTTGACGTAAACAAGTACGCCAAAGTTCGAAAGCTGTTGATGCAACCGGCTGGTAGGTTACCAAACCACCGCTGGGCTATGCCCTTGAGGGTAGCCGGGAAGCATCGACACCAGACGGCATCATCTAACCCCTGGAGGTACATGAGGTTAGAGTAGGCCATTAGATGGTCTTCTGGGTTGGTGGTGCCATCATAGGCCCCCACCAAAACATTCTTGATCTTAGGCGGCTGTGCCGCCTGGGTTATCTCTGGTGAGAACGCCGTTGGCTGTTCCCCCAAATTTAGCAGGCGCAGCTGCCAATCCGTGGGTTGGAACGGCTGCTGCGCTTGCCCACCGAAAAGACCCGGTGACATGAAAGGGGATCCACCCAACCCATTCGGTGTGCCGAATAGGCCAGGCTGGATCACTTTGGGTCCAGACCGGGCAGAAGCTTCGCCCGTCTGGCTCCTAAGGTTCGTTCCCGTACGCCTATGTGAGACGTCATGGAAACTGTCCGGGAAGGTCGACGTTGAGGCCGACGCAGACGCCTGACCTCGCTTCTCTTGGAGAAATGTGCGGGCGTCTGAGAATGTTTTCTTGGAGCCATCCGGCTGTACGTGCCGGATGGCCTTTCGCAGCTCCCCTTGAGGAAAACGGTATCTGCTTGGATCAAACCTTAAGCCCTCCCCCTCCTTTGGCTTGGGATGAGGGGTAGGAACTCGTTCTTTGACCGCCTTCTTTCCAGAAGGCTTCTTGGCCGGCTGACCCTTCTTTGGAGTAGCTGACCGGATGAGGCTCTTGATCTCACCCTTGAAACTATTCATGAAAGACATGAGTTCGTTTCTTGTAACGGGGGCTGAGCCCTCCACCGTTTGGGCAATTCCAGCCGGTTGCCCGGCTGGGTTGTTGGGAGCAGCTTGGCTGATTTCCCGTTCTCTTCTATCTTTAGCACGAGGGTGCTTCGTTCTGAAAGACCCATCCGGGGCCACATATGTTTCAATTTCGTCGCCACTTTCATGGTCCGTCTGGACCTCAGGCTCGACCACAGGCCGTTTGCCCTGATTCGGTGACACAGTATCAGAAGTCATCTTAGAAGTACTCTCCCCACAGACGGCGCCAAATGTTTCGGGGTTTTTTGATGTGTCCTGCGGGAGAGTTACAATTCCAAGAATGCCCTTCGACGCCTGTGCCTGCAAAATCACGAAGACTCCTGGGGGTAGGAGCTCCGCCTCCGACGATCAAGTTAGTAAAGATACGGGAGATAGAATGCACGTAATGTGGAAGTTACTTCTCGCGTAATGGGAGAATTCTGCAATTAATATTGCTCGGGGTAAGTGTTTTTCTTTTTGAGGAGTATTCAATGTGAACAACAAATGTTCCAGCCCCCCATTAATGAGGGTCCTTCCACTATTTATAGTGGGGAAGGGATGGTTTCCCTTTTAGGGTTTAGAGGACACGTGTCAGCAGAGGATTGGAGCACTGCTGACCAACGGCTGGATGCCACGTGTCACTAGGCCATTGGGCCACGTGTTTAGGGTATTTTTACCCCAAACAGATGTCATAGGTCCAATAGAAAAGAGATTATTATGCATAAATAAGCCCAAATAATCCAGCAAGTAAAGCCCAACTAGGGATGGCAATGGATCTGGACCCGACCCGGATCCGTGGACCCAGATCCGTTTTTCACGAATCTGGGTCTTCAAATTTTGGACCCGACGGATCCGGGTCGGATCTGGGTCCTGCTAACAAAAACGGATCTGGATCTGGGTCTGGGCTCTAGACCCGGATCCAGATCCGTGGACCCGTTTTTTTTATTTTTCCTATTAAAAAAAACTAAAATTGTTTATTTCTTTATTAAAAATGTTGATAATGTTAGTAATGATAAAGATTAACCCTTTCAAGAGATGAATTTTGGATGCTCATATTATATACATCATCGTTGTTTTTTCATTAGCTCATATGTAACATCGTATTTTTTTTTTTGTTGTTTTTAATTTTAATTCAAAATATGAGTGTATAAGTTGGTTAATTTGGGGTTGAACTTAATAACTAACAACGTAAGTTTGAAATAAATTTTTTGACCCGAAAATTACATTTTTTGCAAAAAATTAGGCAAAATATATTGGACACGTTTTGGACCCGGATCCGTTGGACCCGACGGATCCGGATCCGGGTCTTCATTTTCTAGACCCGACGGATCCGGGTCGGATCTGGATCCTACATACAAAAACGGATCTGGATCCGGGTCCATCTGGACCCGCTCCAGATCCGACCCGTTGCCATCCCTAAGCTCAACTGACCTATGACAAACAAATCACAGGATCAAGTGTCAAATTCCTTTGTGAGTAAGTCAATTAATCTACTTTTTTTTTTTTTTAAGGGGGGAGATTAAAGTTCATTAATATTAAGCCATATGGCACTTACATAAGAAATCGTAATCGAACAATACAAAGACAAAAGAACTAATTACAAGTTCGAAATAAAGGAAACTACAATTGCACGCGCAAAATGACTTTCTGAAATACCCTTGGCTCATATAACGCTGTCCTATGCAGCCTCTTGCAAGGGGTCTGGCAATATGTTGTAGTTTCTAACGAGAACCTTCATTGGCTCAGAATCCTGTACTTCTCGACCTGAAATCAAAATTAGTGTCGTACACTTCTCCATTGACAAGACAATCTCCGATTTAAACAAGGATATCGACATGGAAGCATAACCCTTTTAGCCCAAACCAACAGAAGATCAAACCAAAGCCCCGTAGCCAACAAACCCGGCTCAAATCCTGCACCAGAAGATCGATACACCGATCTGCACACCCCATAGCACACCAACACACCACACAAAAAGAAAAAATAACAAACCCAAATAACACACAAAGACGGAAACAGGAAACCCAAATACTACACACACCACTAATAAAAAAAACAAGAGGAAACTTAAAAACAAGAACTACGAACGGAACCCTAACAACCAACCCCGCTGCCACTCCGAGCACAACCACCAAAGCTCCGAGGTTCACCAACCTAACCCACATGCCGCCTGACAGTAAAAACCGGACCGCCAATACCCGCCCGAGAAACCCAAACCCCACACACTCCTGAACCGCGGCAACGACGGCTGGAGACACCAGACTAAGAACGACCCTACGCGAGGGACTCAGAGGGAGATAACTTACCCTCCCCGTTCTCGAACACAAAGTCGCGACGACAGACAAAACGGAGGGGCCTAGACACGGCGGGGAAGCGGAGACGAAAACCGGCGGCAAGCCGGCAGCAAGGCCGGTGAGGAACTGACGCGGCCGAAGAGGGGAGGCGGTGCACGATGCAAGCCGAAGATACAAAAAACCAACACGAAAACGAAAACAAAAACGAGAAAGGAAAAAAACAACCTAGGGGAGTAGATCGGAGGCTCGCCGATGCCGTGGCATGGGCGGTGAGCCGCACGCCCGCCGGCGAGCCTCATGGCCGGAGCAGTTTTTGGGAGAGCGGTAGGGTTTGGGAGAGAGAGAGAGAGCTTTTTGGGTCTTGATATTTGGTTTTTTTAAGTTCACTTCAGAGTTCAACAGTCAATTAATCTACTAATTTCATTGCATTTTTATTCTTTGCGAAATGCTAAAGTTCGGTGATCAGAAAAAACAATATTTGAGGTATTGAGGTGGGCTCTATGCAAATCTAGAAGAAAACCTTGGAGGTGTTTGGTTTTTATTCTTTTTAAAGGGTTTTTTTTTTTTTTTTTTTTTTTTTTTTTTTTTTTTTTTTTTTTTTTTTTTTAAAGGTTAGGACTAAAGAGAGAGGCAAAATTGAAGTTAGATGAACCCAAGCCTATACTGATTGTGCTTGGTTGAAAAAGGTCGGATTGAGAGAGAGTTTTGAGTTCAATAGAGTGATGAATTATAATAGTTAAAGGGAACTAAATATTCGGGTTTGTTTGACATTGTTGTAATTTTCTGTTTTTGGGTTTTTTGTTTTCTAAAAGTATATGATATGAGTCCTATAATGAATCGAAAATTATATAAACTTATTAAATTTATGATAATTTTGAAAACTGACAACAGAAAAGTGGAAACACCTTTTGTTTTCTCTTTTTGGTTTTAAAAAAAAACAGGAAACTGAAAATCAAAAACCAAAACTGATGCCAACACAAGCCCTACTTATCCATTTCGTTTTTTTTTTAAATTGTATCACTTCCTTTCTAACAAATCATTAACCCACAATCTCCTTTTTTTTTATATTTTTTTAAAAATCTTCCAAAAAATTGACTTACACATTAAAGTCCATAAACCCTAGCCATGAGACGAGCAAGAAAAAAAAAAGTGAATTATCATAAAATAATAGTTATTACTCGTATAATATCAGAGAATGAAACCCATTATGTATTTTATTCCACTTAGCTTGCCTTCTATTGAGGGTCTATTCTCTTACGTTGAAATTCAGTTCAGTTCAGTTTAGTTCAGCTCAATTCAGTTCAACTCCTAAATTTCTTCTCTTATAAAATATTTAGTTCAGCTCAGCTCAGTTCAGTTCAGTCAATGAGAACATGCCCTAATTATAGTCATATGTGGTCAAACCGATACACTTAGAAAAAGCGAATGAAGACATGGAGCAAGTTGAACCGAACATAACCAAACTACTATAAAGTATATAAGTTGTTTCAAAAAAAAAAAAAAAACTAAAGTATATAAAAGTACTTGTGTAGTTGTGTAAGTACTTATGTAGTTGTGTAATATACGGAGTATTTACTTGTCAAAAAAAAAAAAAAAAAAAAAAAAAAATGTGGGGGAAGTTTAACAAAGGAAAGAGGTTTATGCGAAGTAGGAATATTCGGAGTTTTTCCAAAATCTCTAGGGTTTTGGCATATAAAAAGAAATTCAGCCATCAATTCTTCTTCCTTTTCTCTCCGCCTCACTCTCTTCTTTAACTCTCTTGAACTCATCTCTGTTCTTCTCTCTCCTCAAATTTCATCCTTAATAATGGCAGTTTTCAAGGATTTGCACACTGAGACTGGTCTCAAATCTCTCGATGATCACCTTTCTGGAAAATCCTACGTTTCTGGGTAATTTTTTCTATATTTTAATTTCCTTATTTTTTGATCCAATTTTATTATTGTTTAGTTTTGTTGATTTGTAGCACTGTATTGATTTTGTAGCTGAATTGTATTGAATTAGTAACAATCTGATTGATATGCTTGTTTATCGATTTCAATTGATTTATTTGCCGCTTCGATTTGAACTTTGTTGAATGTAACTTTATGATGATGATTGAACTTGTGTAAAATTATATGGTAATGTTGAATTAATGTTATACAATGTGATTTTTTGTGCGACGATTCTCGAAAATTAAAGTGATTTAGAAACTGGGATGGGTTCCATTGAGAGATTCCATGTGTTTACATTGTTGATTCATTGACATTCTGTTGATTAAAAGGTGCCAACTTTTGAAACAGTTTTGATTTTTGTGGATTTTTGCTAATTCAATTGGATCCATAATATTTTATTGTATAAGTTAATGCAACATAATAATATCATGATTTGTTATTGTGTGTAAGCAATATAACATTGTTGATTGATAATATAATTTAATTAGATCCTTAATATGTGTCGAAATTTACTGAAACCCGATTATATTTTGGATTGGAAGAGTATTGCCCCTATTTTTTTCTGTTCATTGGACTTATGTTTGTAAACTTCATTACTATTGTAAAGGGATGAGCTGACCAAGGATGACATCAAGGTGTACTCTGCAGTATTGGAGAAGCCAAGTGATTCTTTCCCAAATGCAAGCAAGTGGTACGAGAGCGTATCCCAACAGCTCGCCGCAAGGTTTGTGACTGATTTTCACCACTCTTTCCAATCTTTCCTAATTTACTTTTAGCTTCGGTGATGATAAAACCTGGATGTGTGGAAGCTGTTTAACAGCAGCAATCTAAGTTCGGTTACGAAAATGCATCACAATATGGTTTTCCATGTCAAGGTGTTATAATGGTTTTCCTGTCAGCAAACCGTCATGAAAATGCATCACAATATTAAAGCATCTATACTCTCTTAGTTCTTGATTTATAGGACACGTATGATTTGAGATCACTTAAACTGAACTGGGTTATTATCCGACAAGTATCCATCACTAATTTGAGTTTTACATTTCAAACATGGAGGTAGTATGGATGTATGGGTAGATCCAAAATTTAACAAGTTTTAAGTAGTCAGTGGCTTGTTATGTTGGGAGGTGTAAAGAAATTTTACCCCGCTTGCACATCCTTTTGCGGTAGAGATAATTTTATTTTGTCTGTTTGTTTTTTCTAGAATAGAAATTCTCCAAGATTTTTTTTTGTTCTTTTGGAGTTCTTAAGAGTGAGTTCAACATCTGATCAGTTGTTATTTTTTTTTTTATTATGATGACAGTTTCCCTGGCCAAGCTGCCGGTGTGAGATTTTCTTCCCAGGGAGCTCCTGCTGCATCTGCTCCTGCTGAGGAAAAGAAGGTTTGTTCTTATATTTAATTGTGCTTCTTTAGTTGTCTTCTGATATAAAGATGGTTGTAACTTGTGATGTACTAAGGTTAGAAATGGTACTGCTTACACTTGCCAAGGCTGTTGACAAAAACAAATAACTTTGTATAATTTACTGTTTTACTCATCAAAATCCAGTGATATTTCATTAGTCTCTAATTAAAGGACCTTTATGATTTATAGAACTCAAATAATAACAAATGAGCAATATGAATGAGATTGAACATATGATTTTGTAGTAATAGTATATGTAATAGAAGAAAGTAAAAAAAATGGTTTGAATTTATATTGTTTATAAGATGATCTGAAAGCGCTGCGATCTCAATGTCAATTTATTTTTTATAAATATAGCCTACGATTTTTCTTCTCCTTCTGTCATTGTTTGATAGTGTTATGGTTCTCTTATGCAATTTTTTTTTTGTAAATTTGCAGGAAGCAACTGCTGAAGATGATGACGATGATATGGATCTCTTTGGTGATGAGACCGAGGAAGAGAAGAAGGCTGCAGAAGAGAGAGAGGCAGCTAAGAAGGCATCTGGAAAGAAGAAAGAAAGTAAGATTTTTGTTTTGAATTATGCCTAAATTTTCTTAGTTTTCTTTGCTTTGGGTGGGGTGAGCTAGTCAAAGATATTATTCCGAAACTTATGTGATCTCAATGTCGGTTGAGTGAAATTGCTGAAGAGACAACTTATGTGCATTCTGTCAGCGTTAAATTTCTGAGCATTACACCTGGATAATGGGTGCTATGCATGAACTAACGCTAAAGTAATATCCTTCTCCAGAGACTTTTATCCTATAGCGGAAGTACTATAGTCTTTCCCTTTGGAGATGGGAAAATTGTTTGTTTTAATGTCATATATATGTGGAAATAATCTGTAGATAATGCTTCATAACGCAGAGGTTGATTCATCAATCTTTTAATCTGGAAATACTGTGATCGGATATCAATCGATTCTAATTGCAGAAGAGAGAGACTATATGTTTTATATCATTGTGTGCAAGCGTTGAATTTCGAGCGTTACACCTGGATAAATGGGTCTTATGCATGAACCAGCGCCAAAGTAATACCCTTCTCCAGATATTATAGCTATAGCGGAAGAACTATAGTCCTCTTTTACTTTGGAGATGGGGAAATTGTTTATTTTACTGTTGTATATGCTTGGTGTTATCTTAGATAATAATATTTATAATTTGAAAGCACTGTGATCTCAATTTCAAATGAATCTTATTGTGAAAGAGAGTATTATGTGCATTCTGTCATTTTTGTCAAGCGTTGAATTTCGAGCGTTACACCTGGATAATGGGTCTTATGCATGAACCATCGCCAAAGTAATACCCTTGTCCAGTTATTTTTTATCCTATAGCAGAAGAACTATAGTCTGCTTTTCCTTTGGAGATGGGGAAATTTTTATTTCATTGTAATATACTAATATGTGCTTTGTGTAATCTGAGATTATAATTTTTCATATGGATATGCACTCGTTTGGGTATAGTATGACCGGTCCTACATAACTGTTGCTGAATTCATTTCATGACTGTTGCTGAATTCATTTCATGTGAAACAGCTCTATAGCCCATGTAACTTTTTTGTCTCTGACTATTCTACCTATGTTACTAGGTGGAAAATCTTCCATTCTTCTTGATGTGAAGCCATGGGATGATGAAACCGACATGCAGAAGCTTGAAGAGGCTGTTCGCAGTGTCCAGATGGAAGGTCTCACATGGGGAGCATGTATGATCCTATCTATTTCCATTCTCACCTTTTATTAATTTCAACTTTGCAATTTTATATGTTGTGAGCTAAATGTCCCATGTTTTTTCCTGCAGGCAAATTGGTCCCAGTTGGTTACGGTATTAAGAAGATGACAATCATGATGACCATTGTTGACGACCTTGTTTCCGTCGACAACCTCATCGAAGACTACCTCACAGCCGAGCCAAGAAACGAATACATCCAGAGCTGTGATATTGTCGCCTTCAACAAGATTTAAGAGGACTACATAGTATAGCTCTATTCCGGGTTTTAGTAGTTCTTAATCTGGGATGCTTTAGTTTGTGTCTAAAGATTTTGTTTTCGTTGCATTGTCTTATAGGTGGTGTGTATGGTTCGAGGGATGAGTGGGGCTGTAAAACTCCGAGATTTATTTTAACGGTAACAGTTTTTATCAAATCGGATTCTTTGTTAGTATTATAGGTACCGATGTGCTGCCAATCTGCAGATTATATCAGTCATTAAGATTGTTCCGAGTCCGGTGCAAGTGTGTACGGCGTATTTTGTTCTTCTCCTGTTTTGGGGGTTGCAGGGTTGGTGAACCTAAATTCAGTGTTTTTCATGTTTTTTCCAAGCTATCATTTATGAAAGTAACATGACTACGGCATTCTTTTCGCTATTGTGATGATGCAAATGGTGAAGTCTTTAAAAAAAATGCGAACTATGTAACGAAAAAGACCTTGACTTTTGACCTTTTCAAATGTAGTTTATTAAGCCAATAACTAGCAATATACGAGGTTGATATTTCGTGTAAATGTCAATGACAAGTTCAAATTGATTTTCTTATTAATAATGCGTTTTAGAATATTAGAAGTACAAGTTGATTGTTGTTACGTGTTATAATAATATTTATCTTAAAAAAATTAGTGCTATACACGGTATTGACTATAAGTAAGTCCAATAAAATTGTCACAGCTAAGCTTAGTTTAGGTGGAAGATTATTGATTACATGGTATTGATTGTAAGTGATTCATAACGGTTACTTAGATTATGATTTGACGTCTACACAAGCACACAACTATGTATTAATGTATGATAAAATTATTAATGTATGATAAAATTGTCCAATATATATTGTAATTAAACCAAGCTAAGCTAGTTTGTTGTAAGATTATTGATTACACTGATTTTTTTTCATTATTATTTATAAATATTGTCAATACTATATGCTTATTGGCTCATACTTTAATAAGCTCCCATAATCTCCTTAAATTGTAATATATACTGTAATTAAACCAAGCTAAGCTAGTTTAATAAGCTCCCGTAATCTCTTAAAATTGTTCCAACCAATAAAAAAAAAATTCAAAAAAAAATAAAAAAATAAGAAATAGTTACTGTTTACACAATTACATCTTTTGAATTTGAAAATAGAAAAATATTCATATCAGTTATCAAAAAAATCACAAATGTCCAAAAAAAATTGATAAAAATCATAAAAAAAAATCTTTTCAGTTTTTACACATATATATTTTTTAAACCTTTTTTTTATACTTCCTCTGTCTTTTTAGCTGTCACACTTTTATTTTCACAATTTGTTAGACAATTTTTTGAAAGAGAAAATTTAAAAAGACTCATAAATAAGAGAGATAGAGAGAAATAAATGTCAAAAATAAAAAATACTCCATAATCAGTAATATAACTAATTTATAATTTTTAAAATAAAATAGTACTCGTATTGCAACTAAAAAGAAATTGAGAAAGTATAAACTATAGCATTCCAAATAACTATCCAAAGTCATTATAAGTCAATATTTTATCAACAAAAATAAAAGTGTGCGGAAAAAAACAAAATCAACCCATGAGACAAGGCAAAGGCACGATAATTTCCACATTCCAAAACCGCTGACCTCATCATTAGCGTTTTCTAAAGTTAGGCGTAGTGCGCACCTTAGCGCATTTTAGCGTTTTCACCCAACCAACCCCATCAATCATCTATCAAAATTAATTTCCAATGGCTCTTATCAGATTCTAGAATTTCTTATTCCTCCCTTTCTCTCTCTAAATTTCACTTTCTCTCTCTAAAAAAAACACATTTTTGCAATAAACACTCTTTCTCTCTCTCCTCTCGTCACTTCAGTTTCCATGGTTGTCTCTGGTAAATCACTCTTTCTCTCTCTTCATTATTTATTTTTCATTGATGGGTTTGGATTTTTTTCATCTGGGAGTGATTTATTTTTGGTTATTATTTATGTAAAGTTATGTTCTTTAATTTGAACTTGATGTTTTTGTCAGCATCTTGTTGTTTAATTGGGTTAATTTGATGTGGGTTTTGTGTTTTCAGCATTTATTAATTTGCATGATTAGATTGATTTTGTTCTTTGAATCTGCTTTTCATTTTGTGATTTTGGTCAATTTCAGATCTTACTCTTAATTTGGGATTTTATGGATGATTGAATTGTTGAATTTGGTTTGAAAATGAAGTGATTGTTTGTAAATTGAATTGGGTATTTGGGATTTTGATTGGTGACTTTAGTGTAACATTTGTAACTGAAGTGTGAATTTCATCTTCCTGATAAAATTTGCAATTTGTTTTGATGAATTTGTTTGAAAAGTATGATTGAACATTAGAGTTACAAATTTTGATGCAGGGTGATTCTTGGTTGTTGAAGTTAGTAGATTTGGGGGATATTTGAGGGGGGAGATTTTGATCAAGGGGAAAGAAGTGAAAGGAGAGGGATTATTTTTACGATGTCGAGTGGTGGAAATACACACTGGTGTTATCAATGCAGGCAGCCAATTCGCCCTCGAAGCCGAGGCACGATTTGCCCCTATTGTGATGGAGGGTTTGTGCAAGAGTTAGAGGAGTTAGGTGGTGGTCCTGTTCCTGGTCCTGGTCCTGGTCCTGGTGGATATTCTACGGCTACTACTCATCCTTATGGAATGAGAGATGGTCCAGATCAATTACATGGAATTATGGAAGCTTTAGACTCTTTGATGATCCGGAATAATCCCGAGCATAGGTTAGGGTTAATTGAAGCTTTGGATGCATTTATGGGGCAAAGGAGGAGATATGGTTTAGATGCTGATCGTAGCCCTTGGTTGATTTTTCAAGGGCAAATGCCCGGAAGGATGCCAATGCCTAGAAGTGGTGGGTTTGAGATGTTCTTTAATGGAAACCCTGGAATTGGATTGAGCCGGGGAAATAATGGTGATCTGTTTGTGGGGCCTGGCCTTCAAGAGTTGATCGAGCAGCTAATGGTTGACAGGCAGGGGCCACCACCAGCCCCTCGAACAGCAATTGATGCAATGCCCATAGTCAAGATCACTCGGGCACATATCCAGACTGATTCACATTGCCCTGTTTGTAAAGATCAATTTGAGTTGGGCACTGAAGCTAGGCAAATGCCTTGCAATCACATGTACCATTCTGATTGCATTGTCCCATGGTTGGTCCAGCATAACTCATGCCCTGTTTGTCGCCATGAGTTAGGCTCGAGTTCTTCAAGTGGCAGACAAAGCACTAGTAGTGTGAGCAGAAGAAGTTCTAGTAACAACTCAAGAGAGAGAGGAAGTAGTGACCAGAATACGAGCAGGAGGAATCCATTCTCTTTCCTGTGGCCTTTTCGTTCATCAAACAGTAGCAGCACTCGTGAGTATGTTCCAACTAGCGCAAGCAATCCATCCCCACCCCCCCCACCACCACCCCCACCTCCAACCACTCATGAGAATCATGAGATGAATTACAGCGGGTGGCCTTTTGATTACTAGGTTATGTATGTGTGTAATCAGCATTGCTTGAATTACTTGCTGTCTTTGCTTGCATGCCTTTGAGATCAATTTGGCTATTTTAACTGAAATTTCGTAAATATGTTAAAATGGAACAAAGTTGCCTCAGACAATGACAATGTTTTGGTCCTGGTCCAAGAATTTTACAGGTTTCTGCCTTTTTTTTTTCTATAAATATTTTCTATTTCTGGGGGTAAGGCCTCATGTAGATGTTCATATGTATTATTCAGTTTCTTTTGCTAGTGCCATCTATTTCTGTTATTTTCTCTCAGTTTCTCTCGTCTTTCTATGCTTTCCAATGAGAACTCAGCTGTTGTCTTCTGAGTACATATTCTCCATTACTTGAGCCTCTTTATAGAGGTATCAGGTGTATTTCAGTAATTTCACTGTGGAGTTTCTTGAGAGCTCCATATTCACTGTTGTTGTATACGCTATTTTGGGCTGTTATTGTGGTGGTTTTGACAGCCGCCTTTAGCTGGTATGAATATTCTATGCTAGTATTGTATCAGCATATCCTATCCATCCCTTTTAGGATCAGTCTGAGAATCAGTTTTAGAACATGAGGCTATTTTATCGAGTTGACGCCCTTTGGAGGGAAGGGCATGGGAATAAGCTCGCCGTGTAGAGTATGTCAAGTTAGCGGTGGGAACCATTGAAAGCCATAGGTTAGCTTGTTGGCAGAGGAATTATTTCGGTGACTGAGACGTTCGTGTACAAAATCTACCCTAAGTTTACATACAGCTTTACTCCAGTTCATCATTGATAGGGACTTTATTTGGTGACTGAGACGGCTGTGTATGTTTGGCTACAAACTTAAAGAGATGTCCATGTACAAAATCTACCCTGAAGTAGGGCATGTTTTCATGTGCTTCTAGTTATTGACTTGTTTTTAGTGATGCATTCAATTGGCTACGAAGCGACCGAGCAGTGTGCTATGCTGCTCTTCTCATATCTCCTCAGCGCAGGGGTAGACCCGTATGTGCATCTAAGACGATTGTTGTGTGTAGGGTTCAGTTTTGAGAGAAGACTTTACCTTTCTTTTTTACCATGCAAATACTCGTATTGATTAGGTGGTGAAATCCTGAATCATGATTATGAATATCTTTGATTGTTTGCCAGCTGTAGGTTGTTAACATGAGATAAGATGAGATTTTTGAAAATTTGTTAGATTAGGAACTACATTGATGGCAAATCATCTTAATATAGTACCTTTTAGAAGAGAAAAAAAAAAACTCAATTCGTTACTTTTCTTGACTTAAATCTGGTTATTTCTTCAAATCTGGATTTATCTTCAGTAAGAAAAAAAATTTGATGAAGGTTATGCCTTTTTGAATTTAACAATGTAAAAATATTCATGGATTCCTCTAGATTAATGATTGTAACAAATTCTACTTACCGTTGTATTATGAGATGAATCAGTATTGTTTTTATTAGAACGATGTCAACCAGTAGTGTTGGAGTAATGGAGTTGTAACAAATTTCGTTGGTATTATTTTTCTTTCGTAAAAAAAAATAAAATAATAATAATAAAAATTACTGTCTTCATTTTTGTAAAATTTTAGTGTAAAAATACCTAATTATACACTAGTTGGAATCGATTTAAAACTTTTATGTACTGGGCAATTAAGTTAAATTTCACTCATCTTAAAAAATAATAAGTAAAAATAATTTTAATGTAGTAAATTATAATAATATTAAGTAAAAATAATTTCAATTTGAAATAAAAAAGTATAGTTTAGCAAATAATTTCAATTTAGTAAAAATAATTTCAGTTCAATAAAAATAATATCAATTTAGTTAAATTAAGGTAAATGTGAACAGTAGTTTACATCAAATATATCCACCGTGACGTTGAAATGAAACAATGTGCATCAGCATAACAAGCTCAAAGAGATAAACAAAATATTAACCTTGATCAATAAAGCTCAAAGAGATGAACAAAATATTACAAGCTCAAAGAGATGAACAAAATATTACAAGCTCAAAGAGATGAACAAAATATTACAAGCTCAAAGAGATCATTATGGAGTATAATGGTATACTTAGTAATATTAGTTACTTACATGTAGATCTTGATGAAGGTTTAGTATGTGCACTTTTACTGTCATACACGCAGAGTTCTTAATATCCAAGGATCGGATCGTTTGTTCTTAAATGCTCTACTTCAAACAGCTTCTTGTTATTCTAGCCTAAAGTCTCAAAGCTTTTTGTTTCAATTTCTGTTGTCGCCTTCTTTTATTGGAGCATGTCACAATCTTCTCAAGAGTGATTGAAAGTCTTGAGTATTTCTGATGAAATGACCCATGCAGCGCCACCCATCACTAGGGAAAGAGTAACCTTTCCTCCGGGAACCTGCTGGGGCACTTTTGGGAGCTCTGGTGAAGTCAAGTATCGGTCTGACCAAGACATTGCTGCAGGAAGAATTCCGAAAAGCACCAATACTGCAAGATTACAGAAACTGTTAACTACTAGACACATACACCGTTCATCCCTAGATAATAAGCCACTATTCTATTCAAGACCGTCCTAAAAATATAAGCAAAGAATTCAAATATACTTCGTAGTATAATAGAAATGTATCCTCCTATTATACTTCTCCCATATTACCTTTAACGACACCCTTGACTAGAATAGTAGAATTCCAAAGGCAACAATGGGAAGGCGACTTAAAACTTTGCATAGTGAATGGTTATGGTATTAATAAGCAGTTTGTTAAAAATGCTACCCTAAACAAATGCGGCTTATTGTCTAGAGATGGCAGGAGTAATCCTACTAGAATTTACGTAATCAGTCAACTGAAAGACGCAAGACATATGCTTACCACCATACGTTCCAGCAAAATCCAAAGCCTTGAAAAAAATTTCGGGGTCTAACAGTGCAAGCACCAATGGTGGGAGCAAAGTAATCAGATATGGAAGTGGTTTGCTTTGACCAGCAGGGAGTTTCAGCACTGCAATAATGGTTGGGAAACCTCAGTCTTCAATTAGGTACCAATCAAAAGATGCATAAGATATCAACTATTTATACTTCAATCAATTGGAACGTAATTTTCTAAAATTTGCACTTTCTTTCACAAGAGCAGAAGAATTGTTTTTCAAAACATGTGCCAGAGTAAATGAAGCCAAAACCAATATAATTACAAGTTTCTTGAAACTGTTAGAACTTTTTCACAAAAATCTTAATTTGCAAAATAAAAATCTTCAGCCAATGCGAATTATATAATACAGCCATAACAACAATGCAAGTATCATAAACAATTCTATAGCAGGAAAAGGAGAAGTGCTTACAATCAGCTAAAAAGTCGGCAAGTCCCAGAACAAATCCAATGTATGATGTCCCAATAGCAAAAATTGAAAAGGTATCGACTATTGGCTGCATTGCATAAATTTCCAAAAACAGAAGCAATGTGTAGAATTGGTCAATCTGCTTCCACTGAGTCAACAACACCAAAACTATAAAGAAAATTCAAAATACAATTACCCCAACAACTCCATTGCTTGATCTCAGTTCTTGTAATGGATCAAGAATCTTCCCAACATCTGAATCTAGATTAGTGAAGGTACCAAGAATTACACCATTCCAAACAAGAAATAGAAGCAGGGGAATAGCGGTTCCTACGACAACTGCTGTCCTGCAAGAGAACAGATATACTCATAATATACCAGAAACAAGAGCTTAAGTTGTCATAAAATCATATGGCAAGCTGGAGTATCAGATTATGCTGCTTATATGTAAACCATGACAAAGTATGTTCACTTCAGTACCATGCAAGAGGATTAGATCATTACCTGTCTTTGATCAACAATATGTTAAAACATACAATTGGTGCAATAACCTTTATGATAACATTTCTTAATGTGCCAATGATGAAGAGAGGATAGGAATGGTCCGGTTATTATGAAGGTTTTTTTTCTGTAAAAAGAAAGTCATTTCCGGGATTAAGAATGGTTGGAACAGCATAACAATGCTAATTATGGATGGAGGAATACTATCGAGTTTAACCATTTCTTTGTCTATATTGACTCTAGCATTTGGTCTTGGATAACATCACAATGCAAATAAATGTACTTCACAATTTGTCCTAAAATAATGAAATGCAGCAATGATGACAATGCTAATCAAAGATTCACCTTACTTTTGACAGATCACCCTCCAAGTTTGTGCAAAGGACAGGCACCACGTTCTGAACAAACCAAAGAAAAGACATGCTTCATAAACAAAATTAATGAGCTAAAACAAATTGTGAGATTTGTATCAAGATTTACCTTCAATTAATATTATTTCAATTATACATTGAAAATAATTAATGATTGATTGGTGAAGTTAGACAAGAAAAAAAGAACGAGACAGGAGACACACTTTAAGGGGCATAGGGATTAGCTTACTTACATGATAGACATAAGCAAGTGCTATGACAGGTATACTTGAAGGCACAGCTTCAAAATTGGCCTTCAAAAGAGCATCAAGATGTAGGTCTGCACTAGCAACGACCTGGAGATAACGAAATCATATTCTATTAAAAAAAGTGAAGTGAAAATCTGGTCTTAAGCACAAAAAATCATGGTTCCGCCTAGTATAAACATGGCCAATATGAAGCAGCTCTAACACATTTCATAATAAAAAGAATAAACTTAAATAGATAAAGAAAGAAGAGGGGCAATGGGAGAAGGGCCACTCAGCTCATAAAGAGGATGTCTCACCACTAAAGCTGTAAATGCAGTAATGATCCCCAACACTAACAGTCCATTAACAGCACCAATGAAACGTTGGCTGCAGGATAAAAGTAAAAACAAATTTCATCTTGGTAGAACAAACTCAAGCGATAAGCTTATGAAATACGAGTAACAGAGAAATAGAGTTATGAGTGCCACTCTGTCACTATGTTTCAAAATCAATGACTCAAATTTTATGATGCAGCATTCAAGAAAGAAGATGAATTAATGATACAAGAAATAAATAACTATCATCTCACTAAAACATGAAGGACCATCTTCACTCTTCAGTGAACTAAATAAGTAAGCACATGGCAAAAGGGAAATGAAAAAAACCAGAGCTGGTTGATCATGGAAAATATTTTTCTTCCATTCCTGAGTAAAGGTTCATCTTCAAAAGAACATATTTTGGGCCCACATACCCCACTCACATTTTTTTTCTATTACAGTTTCTGATTTTCAATATCCTTAAATTCCTTTCAAAAAGGATGAGTTACAGGACAGAGGGAGTAAAAAAAAGAGCATACCCAAATAGTTCTATCACAATAATATTGAGCAAAAGGCGTACACATACCTTCCAAAGTAACATAATCCTCCAAAAGCCAGTGAAAACAATGCTGCACTTTCCCATCTGTCATAACAATTAAATTCATCAAAATCTTTACACTAGACCCACTGCATAAAATGAATGAGTTTAAATTGTGTTACAACTTGCAACCATTAACCATGAGCACAGCTACAGTGGCTAATTCAATTCAAAAGGTAATTATAAAATACAGATACAGTGATACACAATAAGTCCAGACCAAGTCAAGAATTACAGAAGGCTCAAATACTTCATCAACTACAAGCTGAGAGACTTGCATATCGATGCCTTAAAGTCAGCTATGTCAACTCTACCCATGAGTGTCGTTTCTATTTTCTAATCCAGGATATGCCTACGGGTAAAATACACCACCCAAGCTTACCTGACACTTCTAACCTTTTTATAGGACACGGAAACACAGGGCTAAATCATTTATGTATACTCAGAATAAATCCAACGCAAACTAGAAGCTAAATATTCACACATGGAGAATGACTATATCACTATTATTTCAATTGCGTATGAGCACTAAGAAAATAACTAATACCAACAATAGATGCACTTATGCTTTACCAAATTCAAAGGAAAGGAGATTGCTTGAAGCATAGCTCATACAGTGGAATTCCAAGGTAATTTGTCAATATATCTGACGACCGTGCAATGTAGGCAACAAGGAGAGCATAATGTATAAAAATGTATGACCAGCTGCAGTACAAGGAAACACAGTCGTTAGTTAATATACGAACAACTATCCTCAATAGATTCATCAAGCAAAATGCGTTAGGTAATGAATTTAAAATTCATGTTCTGTAATGCACAAAAAAGTAAAAGAAGAAATGTTTGCTGCAAGATTTAGTTAGAATATTTTAAGAATTCTCAAGACAAGCTAATGCAATATGCAACTCAATTAAAAACTGCCATGCTGGATATACAACCAAAATCAATTGCTCAGACACATGGAAGTTTATCCCACCCTAATGTGTTCCTTTTTCAAATACATCTTCTCCAATAAGCCAGAGTTTTATTTTATTTTTCTATGCCAGACACCCCAACAAACAAGCACTTGTAGTATGAGGGTTACTGGTTCTTTAACAGTTACTCTTTCACTTGGCCTTAACTGTCTATAGATCACTGCATAGTAATGTAATGAGGATAGACTCTTGTAACCTACCCTTATTTTCTAGGGCTAAGCTGAACCACTATCTTTGTGAAGGCTCTGCTTATACCACCCATCCAACTATTTAAGTTAAATGAGATGTGCATTCTGAAGTTGAAGTAACATAAATCAGTTTAACTTTAAGGTTCAAGGATTTACAAGGGGCAATATAGTCCTTGTAAACTACTTCTAACAAGTCAAATGTTAAGATCCTAGACAAAAGTAAGTAGAAAATTATACTCTTCTTAAATCTTCAGATGTAGGAGACACTAGAAGTTTCTTATGTACATAATCATAATTCAAACAAAATGTCTTACCAAGCAACTTGGACTCCCACTGAACCTACCGTTCTCTTTGCCATTGACACCTGAAAACAATTTCCAATTAATAATATGTCTGCATAAGAAAGACACAGGCAACATTCATCTCTTCAAAAAAACGAAAGTCAGCAGTTTAAAAATTACACCATCAATCATTGCATATGAGTAAAGAAACATTGGTCACAATTTTGAAAGAAGGATAAAGCGACATATAGGTCACATACTGATTAAAGATGTTCAAAGAATGATAGTGATACTTGGTAGTTGTTGTAATGAACAAATGATGCATGACATTCCTAAAAACCACAAAATCAAACATTCCTTTTACTAATGCACTTGCATATGTTCTAAGCAAAATCCAACTCAAGGCTCCAAAAAGAAAAAGACACGATACGTGTTTTGATCACTATGATGATATGATAGTGTTGCATAATCACAAGAAGGAGTGAAATGAAACTTGCAAATTAAATGGAACTAATTCATTCATGGCCTGATTTGGGTTTCTCAAAGTAGTAAGGGAGCTGTATTTTCTTGTCCATTCAAAATATTAACAATCCTGAAGATAATGATAGGGCATGAATTACCAGAGAGACACCCCCAGAACCCAACTCGCACATCGTATTTACATTAACTTCAGCAATTAGTAAGCCAGTTGCAACCTGCAAATGTTCAAAAATATTGTTTAGACCATCCACCAGTGCATCAGTACATGATCACTATTCAACCATGACAATCAAATTAACAAATCCGCTGCAAATCCCCACCATGTATACCCAACAACCAATGCACGCCACCGCAGAGGCAAGAAACCCTGATTCTTGTGTCACAGCAGGAATTGCTAAAATCCCTGCACCAATCTGTAAAGTTCTCGGAAAACAAAAAAAATGAGTTAAACAAAACAGCAAGGGAAACTCGGTAAAATTGAGTAATCAACTAATCATATGAAGTCCATGTAATAGTTGAAGATATATATACACCATAAAAAGAAACAATTGAACATGTAAAAGCAATATAGTATAAGGCAATTAAAGTCCCACTATCAATGTATGTAAGCACAATGCACTCAAAAGCTTCTATATTATCATCATCATAATTTTTAGGCACCTTTAGTTTGAAAGGAGCATCAGTTATCAGACCTCCTCCCAACCACTGAACCACACACACACACTTAACCAAAGCCATAACTCAAAACAAGTAACACAATATATTTCTTCTAGGCGCGTAACATAGTGCTTTACTGCTTTTACATACATTAATTTATCCCCCTAACTAGGAGATGGGCACATATAATATAATCCAGAAATCAATAATGTACACTCAAACACTCAAATTTTATGCACTAAGCTAAATTAGGAGGTGGGGATACCGTAGTTCCTGCCACAAGGAAGATTGAACTGCTAAGGCTACCTGCCAACAGAATTTAAGAAAGGAATGATCATTGATCAAGAAAACAATCAAACTTCAAAAATAAGAATTTAATTAATTAAAATTTCAAGCAAAATGGGCAAAAAATAAGCTAAATTTCTAACCAGGTTCATGCTTCAAAGTGGCTTGATTAAGATTTGAGAACAACCTCTCAAATTCATTCTTTTCAACTTCTTTTCCCAAATCTTCTTCTTCCTCTTTGAGTGATTTTTGGGTGGGTTGGCTTTGTTTTTGAGAGAAACATCTTAAGCTGGGATTTCTGAGGTGATTAGACAAATGGGTATTGGGAAATTGAGGAAATTGAACAGAATTTAAGGGTTTAACTTGATGAAGATGATGGTGAAACAGAATTTGGCGGGTTTTGGGGTTGAAGAATGAAGTGTTAAGCAACGCCATTTTTCTTTCATCAATCAAGTAAAGACATGAAATTTTTCATTTTTGCAATAAAGTTGTAGTTGGTTCATGTTGTACGAATTGTGAGCATTGTAAGGGTCCACGTTATCAGCAAGTAGATCAGTAGATGTTCGTTTTACTTTCTTGGTTTTGCTATCTTTGCATTATTCCATCATGGTACATTTGGTCTAATGAAGTAAGTTTTAATTGCTAATTATTGGAAGTATTACTTTGTATTATGGATAGTGAGTTCAAAGAGTTCATGGATTAAATACAAGCTCAATTTACATATCAATTGTTATGGAGGTCGTCCCATTTAAACTCTGGAAGAACAACAATTTATCACGGAGTAAAAGTCACTACCTCAAATAGCGATTTTACCCATTTTAACCGCAAAAATTACACTAACAAAGATAAACTTGTATTTCTCATTGTTATTTTACCCTCTCTAATTAGGCAATTTAGAATATCTTGAACATTATGAGTACTCATTAATCACCAACAACAGGTGTATACGGTATACCTCTTAGAGATTGCAGATGGATATAATTTTGCGAGTTTCACCCTAAATTTCAAATGGAATTGGGTATGGGTATAATTTTGATGATTAATGGGTATGAATATCAAAAGTCATACTCGCCATAGGCGATGGGTAGGCTATGGATTTGAAATTATGTTCGCCTCAACCTACCAATACTCTTAATATCCATCAATTTGTCTAATCTTTATGGAGTACTTTGTATTCACAACCATTAATGTGTTTTCTAAAAAAAAAAATTAAATAATTTCAATTAGGTGTAACTCTTTAATAGTAGGGGTGGGTTGTGGGTATGAGTAAATGTGAGACGCAACACCCATTAATCATCCCTAAGACTTCTTAAAAAGCTTCAACTTTATTACGATATATATATTTTTTTATTATGGTCATTATATATTATCAGTAATTTTTCTTATATATACATAAACAAGATTCAATATCATTTTTTAATTTTATTTTTTTTATCATCACCCTATTTAAATATAGTAACTATTTGTAATTTTGTATAGTAAGTTAGTTGACACCCATATTATTATTATTATTATTATTATTATTAATATTATTATTATTATAACAATTTTTGACGATTATTATTATTACTATTAATTTAATATTTCATTAACATCATTGTTTAATAATTGAATAAAATTTAAGAGATACAATCATGCAAATATTGCATTGTGGAGTGTATCTTGTTGGAAAAGAAAACTAAAAAGGAAAAATAAAAAATAGAAGCGAGTAGGTACATTAAGGTCATTAACATTACATTACGATCTAGCCTTGTAAAACCCTAAACCTCGATTACAGGCTACCCACTCGCCCACATCTCTCTTTTCTCTCTCATTCAATCGCAGGCGCCATCCAAGTAATTTCTCTCTTCCCCTTTCTCTCTCTTTTTCATATCATTTTGTTCTGATTTCAACTCCCAATTTGTCAATTCTCGATTATTTTGCTCACAGTTATGCTTGTTTAATCGATTTAGGTCTGAAATGTTTAGTCTTTCTGGGGTTTTTGTTGCTAATTTTTCTGGGGTTGTAGCTGATTTTTCTGGGGTTTTAGCTAATTTTTCTGGGGTTTTTGTTGCTTATTTTTCTTGGGTTGTAGCTAACTTTTTCTGGGGGTTTTTGTAGCTAATGTGTTGCAGGCTTTTGTTTATACAATATCTTTGTTGGGGTTTTGTGTTTTCAAAGTGAGGTGCGAAATGGAGATTGAACCTCATTTGTGCATTTTGATGATATTGTATAGTATTTACAATCAACTAAGTAGGAGAATTGCTCAGACAAATCGTTATCGGTGCAACAATGGAATTTGATGTTCTTTAGGTTTGAGGTTACTGGGTATTTTCATCTTTAGCTATTATTGTATTTGGAAGATGGTAACTTTGATCCTATAGGTTTAATTCATACGATAAGATAGATGGGTTTGTGCTTGTTATGTCAGGGTATTAAATGGCCCTATTCTGTGTAATTTGGTTCTCGGGGTTTGTGTACAATAGATGTGTTTGTGCTTGTTATGTCAGGGTGTGAAATGGCCCTATTCTGTGTAATTTGGTGCTCGGGTTTTGTGTACGATAGATGGGTTTGTGCTTGTTATGTCAGGGTGTGAAATGGCCCTATTCTGTGTAATTTGGTGCTCTGGTTTTGTGTTTATGGTCAGCTACTTTACTGCTTATACAGAGTGTAATTGATGCAACTAAGAATCATTATTTGAGCTAGTTGACGCTTTTGTAATGATTATCTCTAATCTTTGTTTGGGGCATGGGTTATGAATAATTTCAGGTTGAAATATGAATTTCCAAAATGTTAAGGTTCCAAAGATGCCTAGCGGTGGTGGTGCAGCATCTGCTCTAATTAAGGTCGGAGTTGTCGGAGCTATTGGCCTTGGACTCTATGGAATCACTCATAGTATGTACAATGTTGAAGGTGGTCATCGTGCTATTGTCTTCAACCGCATCTCTGGTATCAAGAACAAGGTTAATAATGAAATCAGCATTGCTTTAATTGTATATTCTTATATTCCAGATTCAGTTGATACTGTATACTAATTGTACTGTTTCGATTGTATACCTCTAAAACATGGTATCTTATTCTTTGCAGTTAATTGTATCACGGCACAGTTCTTATTTATGTGAATTCTGGGCCTTATTTTTCTTGATAGATTTCAAAAATTATATATTATATTCATAATATTTATTTTGTTATGTCTTGCAGTCTTGCATGACACCTGTAGTGAGAAACTTATGTCTGCTTGAGAAAAAAATGGGTTATGACTTGAAGTTTTTTGGTACACATAATCATATAATACCTTTGTGAGTGACAAGGGAAGCAATTCCATTTCATATGCATGATTAATAGTGTGCAATGTTAAAAAAATATTGCTAATATACTTTTCCTAGAAAACTGCTTTTTCCAGATTTGTGAATTTGTTGAATATTTGATAGATTTTTTTTCCCCCCAAATAGGTTTACCCTGAAGGAACACATCTCATGATTCCATGGCTTGAAAGACCAATCATTTATGATGTTCGTGCACGACCTCACCTAGTAGAAAGTACATCTGGAAGTCGCGATCTCCAAATGGTGAGTTGATGCTTTATTTACTAGTGTGTGTTAATGGAACTATTTGTGGTATGCCTATGATATATATGCATGGACATTTGCTTGATAGTATCTTATTATTTTCCATTTTTCTTTATGGACATGTGTGGGCATGTATGTGTGTATTTCTTGGCTATAGATGTCCACTTTCCATCCATGTTGATGTATAATTGCTATACTCTGATTTATCTTTAATATATGGTCACTCCTGTAAGTAGGGCCTACCTTGAGTCACATAAAAATTTGAGGGGTATTGGATTCAGTGACAAGTCGTTTGGTGTAAAGAATAATGTTCTTCCTAATTGCTTGCGTCACAAGAGTAAACCAAGTTGCTTCCCACACTCATGTTTATCAATGTCAATAATCTACATCTGTCACATTTTAAATTTTTCATGAGCTAGAAAGAGGATTTCTATCTTGCTAGAGAATAATCTTGTTTGCCCCAAGGAACCTTTTTATAGCTGTAGCAAACATTCTTCTACTTTTCTGATCATCTTTTGCGCCACCTACACCGTTCAAGTAGAAACGTATAAGCAGACAGAAAAGAAACATTGTGCTTTCAAGTTATAGCTTTCACATGATATATGCACAAAGTAGAAGTGCCAAAAATTGCTATCATTTTGCATAGTTTGTACGCATCTCTGCTAATTCATTAGTTCTCGTACATCAAGCTCTGCATTGTTTCAGAGTTCTTACTCCCTCTGTACCATGTAGTTGTATTGAGTACTTCATAACCGTGTGTTAGCTGAACTACATAATTGTGGATTTCAGGTCAAGATTGGTCTTCGAGTTCTTACTCGTCCTTTACCAGACACTTTGCCTACAATTTACCGTACACTTGGTGAAAACTACAGTGAAAGAGTCTTGCCATCCATAGTCCATGAGACCCTGAAATCCGTGGTTGCCCAATACAACGCAAGTCAGCTACTTACTCAACGTGAGGTAATTCCTTATTTCCTATTTATTGAGTTGATAAATATCCATTTGTATAAAACTATTTGTGTTTTCAAGGATTTTGCTATATTATATGAAGGTAACATTGATTAATGAATGGCTTCAAAACTATCACACAAGCTCTCAACTAAATTGTAAGGAAGATGAGTAACAAGTTATGTAGATTTAAGTGTGTGTTTTTTTAATCATTTTTCAGGCTGTTAGTAGGGAAATTCGAAAAATATTGACAGAAAGAGCTGCAAACTTCAACATTGCATTGGATGATGTGTCTATCACCACTCTTAACTTTGGTAGAGAGTTCACTGCTGCAATTGAAGCTAAGCAGGTAGCTGCACAAGAAGCTGAAAGAGCCAAGTTCATTGTGGAAAAGGCTGAGCAAGATAAGAAAAGTGCTATCATCAGAGCACAGGTAAGAGCTATATTTGCTTACAAATTGCAAAAGCTGTCCAAAAATTAAAGTGTTCCTTTGTGTGTTTAGCATTAATCTGGCAGTGTTCACTGTTTTGTGTCTAAAATCTGGAGTGGCCTTTGAAAATTCTGAAATACACCGTTCAACATGTCAAATATGCTGAGCCTCTTGTTTAATTGTTTAATTGTGTAGTTCCTTTTTGTCCAACAGCAACTTGAGACTCTTCCAAGTTGATCTCAGCTGGCCTGATTCAGTAGATGCGTAGGAGTAGCATTTAAAGTCTTTCTTGTTGAATGGTGTATTTTTTAAATTAGGCTCTCCTGGGTTTTTTTGATGTTAATATGTCTACTTCTCTCGTGTTTGGTTGCCAGGGAGAAGCCAAGAGTGCTCAACTTATTGGTCAAGCTATTGCCAACAACCCAGCTTTCATTACTTTGAGGAGAATCGAAGCTGCCAGGGAAATTGCCCATATAATCTCTAATTCATCAAACAAGGTGATGTTGAGTTCAGATGATCTTCTGCTCAATCTTGGGGAGATGACACCAGAGGCACCTAAGAAGTAAACACCTGCTCTGCGGTGGAATTCTGCAGTAGCTGGGTTTGGAAGGATTTAATGGAAAGTCAAAGAAGTTTTAGAGATTGAGGAACTTCTGTAAATGTCAGGCCTTGACAACACTCGAATGGTTATTGTTTATCAAACCTTTTGACTGATAATTGCCTTCAGTTTACATGAATTTTGCCTCAATGCTTACAGAATAAGCAGCCACTATCGTAATGAAATTTAAGATCTTTATTTTGGTGGTCATGTAATGGATGTTGATAGTGATTGTTGAATTAGAAATTGCTTGTTAGAAATACAGCAGCATTTTCCCTGGAATTTTATTCGATTGCTTAACCATGGCATCTTTCTGCGCGGGCTATTATTTTGCCACCCCCATTGTGAGAACACAGTTTTTGTTCTATTCTCACAAGATGTGCTCGTTGCCCCCCTTTGCGATATTGAAACAAGGATTTGTTATGTGTTGCTCTGCGGATAATGTTTTACTGCGTAAATAAGATGAAGGTTCATTGATTGTATTCGTACAGCACAGATACGTTATACGTGTTACACGACTCATCTTGGGTTTCTATTCCAGTATTCCTTTGCATGGTTTAGCTATATGTGATGCTAATAAACCTTTAAGTTTTCCAATTTCTCTCCGCAAGTAAATGGATGATATTCCAATGTAATTACCAAATGAATTTCTATCTCAATTCTAAGTCATTTAAGTGAAGTTTACCCAACAATATTGGATATATGGGTACAGAAATCTAATATTAAACCAATACTTGATATTTGGCTTAGTTTTGGATGCCTAGAGTAGAGTGTTTGTTTGAGAAAGACAAGAAATGGCTTATGAGAAAGCACTGGAGAGGGAAAGAAGAGCTGCGAGTAAAGTTTCAACTTATCTGCTTTCATTCTCAAGAGGGCACAGGGGAACACGGTGATACGATGGTCTTAGTTACGGAAGGAAGACCAACTAAGCGAAGTGATTAACGCAGCTATCACATTAACCGGAGAGAATGTGTCAATATGGAGGGAGATTACAAATATTTTTAGATGGAAGTCTTTACTGACGAAATTAGAAGTATGTTAAGCAACATATTGGTTTTCAGGTGACATTTTTTCGATAACCCGTAAGGCCGTAACACATACCATGGCTATACTCACGTCAAGGAAAAAATTAAGGGCAATACGCAAATATGATAAAATGAAAATATAGAAGCCATTTTTTCTTTTACTGAGAATTAACCACCAAAGAGCAACATCAGAACGAACACCAACATATGAAATTCAAGCACAATTTTCTGGGGGTCTTTTCTTTTTTCCTTTTTGTTTACTTTTATTCACGATACTTCTCCCCCAGCACAACCCTACAGTGAGGGAGAAGATACAAACTGTCTAGGTAAACTAAAGAGATCTTTCCCCTCAAAAGGGGATGTCCACTCCCGAGAACTGGCAGTTGATGAATCAGCCATACCCGCTCCACCATCCTGCAACCCAACAATAGGTACACCATTCCCATTGGAAGAAGACGGTCTCATAGTCATACTCATGGCAGAAGCTCCTGAATCGTACATGTGAGCTCCACTCCTAGAGAAAGATCCCAACCCATTCCACATCCCATTTTGCTTTGAGGGAACGAAACTTCGATCCAAGCTCCAATCTATATTAGTGTAGTCACATGATGGCATTGTGCCACTAGCATTCCAATCCACCGGAGAATTTGACCCAGATGAGCAGATTGAACCCACCCCGGAAAAAAGCCCCAGGGAAGAAGCAGCAGCAAGGGTTGGAGACCCACCAATCCTGGTCCACGATGCATTGCTACGTGTAGAACCTGGATTATCCATTGGACTACTACCTGGCATAAACGGCTGAAGTTGATGTTGATTTTGATGCTGATGTTGATGCTGATGTTGCTGCTGTTGCTGCTGAAATTGAGCAGGATGATAAAATTGATTCGATGTCAAGTTGTTTGGACTAAGGCTTCTAGTACTATGAGGCAGTAACCCATTCGGCTTCAAAATCTCCGAATTAGTGGGATACCAACTAGCCGCTGTACCTGGAGGAGAAGAGCTAATGCTTGTTGCAGGGGCGGGTTTGACATTTACAGACTGAGGCCGCTGCATCATTACTACAGGCTCTCTGATTGACCCTGGCTGAAGATTCCTATATTCATTACCAACAGTTGTATACCGTGCCTCTGCCTTGGCCGGTGGAGGTGAAACCTGTAGCGGTGGTGCCAAAGAATACGAAACTGAAGGATTTGACCCCGCTCCGATAGGCCACCTTTTCTCAACCGGTGTAGCGATTTGCTGAGGTCTAGGCCAATCTAATTTGGGCTGAACAACTTTAGGCACCGATTTGGGAGCCGGTACTCCTGTAACTGCAGCTTTAGTGTAATTAAAATCTTTTTCATCCCTTCTCTGGGGTAACAAAGTTGCCGAATTGGGTTTTGGTTGCAGCAGTCTCACATTGCTCTGACTTGTTGCTACAGATATCTTACCATTACTAAAAGTAGGAGGATCCCCAATTTCTTCAGGTTTAGGCAAGACAGTTGGTTGATCCTGTTTTAATGATCTCAAATTCTCTTCAGCCTTCTCTAAATCACCTTCACATGTCACTATGGCTCTTTCTACATCTTGCTTTGAGCATTTGAACTTTATTTCCAATTCTGCAATCCGAGCAAGCTCTTCAGATATATCAATCTTCAGATTGCTCCCTGTATCAATATTTTGATCTTTATGCTTATCAGCATCTTCACCTCCTTCAAAGTGCCAAGCTACTGCCTCTTCCACTCGGCCTTCATTTAAAATAAGAGCCATAGTTGCCCGTTCATGAGAAAATCCCATGGCCACAAGTTGCTGAGCAAGAGCTTCCAGTTTTCTGGACATAAGATAGCCACTGCAGCGTTCATGCAATTCTTGGGCACGCCTTTCCTTCTGACGCTGATGTTTCCTCTCATTTTTCTGGCGTATCTTCTCACGCTTGTCATTATCAGCGCCTGGGATAACCTCTTGCTTGGTCGCGGCATTTGATGCCTTATCTTTGTTATGTTCTTCTGACTCCACAGACCGGCTGTCATTGTTGGAAGCAGAATCATAATCACCTCCACTTCCATGAGTGCTCCCACTATGATCATCGGAATCATCTATGTTACGGAAACGACCATTTGCATGAAGTGTTGGCGCCAAGTATGTAGATGATGCCTCAAGAGTATGAAATGTCCCCAGCAATGGATTATATGCACTTGCTGGAATTCCAGTACCCCCATTTACAGCTGCAGAGGACTTCGAAGGAGTCTTTTGTTCCTTTCCCGCCTTTTTGTCCTTTGACTTAGATTTGGAAGCCGATGACATCTTGCAAAGACACGACAGGTGGATTTATGATCCTGAAAACATCAAAATAACAATTTCATTTTTGATGCCTTAACATGTGCACAATTGAGACCAAAGGCTAAAATGCATAAAAAACAGTGATACGAGTAAGTGGGTTGAAAAGGTTAAAAGAAGACAGAGAGGTCAAGAGACTTGGCTGCGTATCATTATTAACACAAGTACCAGAGGCTTGGCTCTAATACACGAACAAAAAGTCAAAAGTCATTACTAATACAAAGACATTCCAAAATGAACATTTCAACAGATGTGACTCATGTGAGCTATGTGATCCTATAGAAAAGGCAAGCATAGCAAAACACAGCAAAACTTGGAGGGATGCTCAATATAAAACTAATCAGGGAGTACAGGAGTTGGAGGAAGTAATTTTATTTATATTAAAAGCAGAGACAATTTTAATGCAAAGACAACTAAGATAACCCAAAATATATTCAAAGACATAGTTTGAATCACATGCAGCAATAACTATGCAACAATGATAGGTGCCATTTAAATAATCAATTATGGCTTCATGGGATGCAACAGAAAACTTGAGAGCAAGGCTGAAAAGAAAAGGATGAGAAGATATTCATCAAATTTGCAATAATGGTATCCTATTAGGCAAAGCCACACATCTATCTTTCAAATTTTTAGAGGTGACACCTTAAAATTTCCAACATTAGCACACGTACAATTAAGAAAGGATTATCAAACCACATAAAAATATAAATATACCACAACCAATCCGATTCTTAAAATTCTTCAGCTTCAGAAATTAGCATAAAACATATTCTACAAACAGTTAAAATATAAATTTGAGTAACAAACCCCTAATGATTGTTACTATAGTTAAATTCCCTTACAAAGCAATTTATTCTCAACCACAAAATCAAATTCTTATAAAATTTCTAAACCGCCAAAACTGCATATGTTTTCCTACTAAAAACCATGATGAAATACTACTTTAACATTCCAGCCAAACTTTAACTTCAGAAATGCATATACAAAAAATACTTTACCTCCTATTCGGCATGAAACACAAATTCAGACTTCTACACTATCACGATTCTTAAAAAGTGGCATCCAACTGAATTCTAAGACACTAAGCAAATATTTTTATCAGCTGTCTCTAAAGAGACAACAAACTAAATAAAGATTGACAAAACCTACTACTGTAGAATGAGCAAAACTCCAAGAACACATCCACTGTTTGATTATATTTTATTTTCAAATTATAGGTGCCTAATTAGAAGTCCAGAAAAAAAAAAAAAAAAAAAAAAAAAAAAAAAAAAAAAAAAACTCCAGAACATCATTACCTTAAGCGACCACATCCATAGGTTCCACACAGGCACATATTAATAATCAAAGAACGAAACTGAGGAAAAAGGACATAGGGATGGATAAACGGCCAACAGAAAGACAAACCAATCAATTGGACATCTACATCAAAAGCCTAAATTTTCAAACTTTCACCCATCTTGGTCTGTCCTGCTCTTTGCACCTTGAAACAAAACATATATCCTAAATGCAATTGTGCTCTACAAAAGCATTTCCCCAAAAACAAACACAAAGCACTAGTCTCTAAAGATTCCTCCTTCGCTCCTTCACTCGTTACAAGCCCTAATTAGCTAGCCATTTCTGTCAGTCATCTATAGCTCAACAAGACTATGCTGGCAAAGAAGAGATTACCAAACAAAAATCCAGGGTTTAGCACAAGGGAATAAAAGGCTAATCCATCTTCATACACTATCATGCCGCCTCTAAGTTAATGAAATCCCCGAAACATGTCACCGTAATCGGTAAATTACCCGAACTTCCAACTAAATAGTCAAAAGAACTCCCCAATAACACCCTTAATTGAAGACTGTTATTCACTCTATCAAAGAAAAGAGTGTCAATTTTCCGAATACTTCCGCTACACGTACTCGAATTTTCAATTCAATTACAGCAACAAAACTTAACATCCTGTTCTTTTCCTAGAACAAACTAAAGCAACAAATACAACATATGAACAAATATATGATTAGAAGAAATGGAATGTATTCAAATTAATGAATTATCAAATTTAATACAAGTAAAAACAGCATTTCGGTTGCAAAAATTAAAAGGTAACTGAACCGACATATGAAATGATTCATGATTATATCAAACTAATTTGTTCATTCAAAAGAAAAAAAAAATTGAGAACAAATATTTCAATACCAATAAGTTTATCATATAAGTATCTAAACACATTTAATTTCTAATTCCTCAAAACTTTGCGAATCTAATAAGTTGAAATTCCGACAACAGCGCAACCCTAACCCCCGAAACGATCGAAAATCCAACATCCAATAATTCAACACCGGCAACTTCCGACAACAAATGAATCCCCAATTGACGCTCAAAATGCAATTCAATCATAAAATTAGGGCGAAAATTACAGCTCCAACCAAAAAATTAACATTTTCTGGAAAATTCGAAGAGAGAGAAAGAAGAATCACGAACCTGGATAGGAATTTATGTAAAATCAAGAAATGAACGGATCGATTGATAGATCAGAAGGTTGAGAGGATGATTGTCGGAAATAGGAGAGAGAAAATTGGGGAAATTGGAGATGGGAGGAGAGAGAAATTGCGAGGCTGAAACTGAATCGAAACGAATTAGGGTTTTTGATTGACACGACGACGATAATGATGAGGAAAAAGAAGGAAAAAAGGAAAATTAAATTGGGGAAACTATTAAAATTATTTTCGGAAATAAATAAAGGGGAAATGAAATTGTTTTTTATTTTTTTATTATTCTATTGGCGACGTGGCTTTTTGAGGAGTTTTTACTTTTATTTTTTTGGGCCAAAAGGAGTTATTACTGTGTTGAGAAACAGTTGGGGCCCAGCAAAAAAAATGTAACTGTAAAAATTCGGTAATTTTTACAGCTTTAATTTCTTTGCATGTCGTGCATGTGTTTCTGTCTCACCACTATTTTGAGAAAAATAAAAATAAAAAATTTAAGGTGTATAAAAAAACAATATCCTTCAAAAAAAAATAAATTTTAAAATAATAGTATCGGGTTTTTTTTTTATTAAGGACGATTATTGTGAAACCTTAACATGGTTAAGTTTAGTTTGATTTAGGAGTTGTTCTAATTTATTGAAAAAAAAACTGAAGTGAACTGAATGGAACTGAACTGAAATTAAGTTAAACAGAAAAGTCCCTTAATTTTAACGAGTTTGAATTCGCCTATAGCTTAAAAATCTTGCTCAAGCATGGTTTATTAAGACTTAAGAGTAATTTGAGTTTGAGTTATCGAGTTGGTAAAGATTGTTCCAACAAAAACCACAATAAGTATTATTTTCATTTTTTTTTATTGACTCAATAATACTTCTTCTGTTTTTTTAATTATTGCACCATACATGTTGGACACACATTTTTTGGTAATGGGAAAAATGAAGAGAGAGAAGGGTAAAAGTACAGAAAAATCCATGTGATGTAAACATAAAGTAAAGAATCAAATGTTAAAAGTAAGGATATATTTGGTACTTATAGTGTGAACACATATATTTTGTTTTTTTAAATAGAAATGGTGTAATATTTGTGAAATTTCTTAAAAAGACAAGTGGTGCAATAATAAAAGAACGGAAGAGGTATTATTTTGCTTGGACATGGAAGCTGTGTTTGAAATTTACCTATCCTTGTTATGAATAGATAATTTAACACTTGGTATGACAAAAATATATAACGAAGTATCGTATTAAATACTTCGTATGCAATTTGTATAACATATCTTAAGTGAATAAGCTTTCGAGTTTAATCAACATTGGGATTATGTTCAAATTGTTTTAAATTGGAATCAAGCAATTATGTTAAGCTTTAGCTTAGATTATGAACAAATAAACAAGGATTGATTTCTTCATGAACCATTACACTCACAACATTCACCCCTACATACACATAATTGTACATTAGTCATGTTTGGTAAAATGTACATAGCTATAGAAGTAGTTGTAAATGTTACTTGCACAAATAATTGTTACCTTTAAAAATAACATTTTATTTTTCCAAAAAATTTAAATCAAATACAAATGCCTTTTTCCTTTTAAAAAAATGAACTGTATGTGCAACAAAGCAATCAACTAAAGCATAAATCAAATAAAAATTGTAAATTGTGTAGGCAGTTATATGAAGACCGTTATAGTTAATAAAGCTCTTCAATTTTTTCCCCATCAAATGAATTATCATATCAAGGAAATGCAACAAAAAGAAAATTAATTGAGAATGAATCACATGAAATTTGTAAACCGCGTGGCAATTGTACGAAGATCAGTATATAGCATAAAAGTCGGTTGTTTTTGCCTTAAGAAGAATTATCGTCGGAATGAAGTGCAATAAAGCAAATCAGTTGAAAATAGATCACACGAAGATTAAATTGCATTACCGATTTTATGAAGTTCAGACAGTACAGCTAATAAAGTTAGCTAGTTTTCCCAAAAAACAAGGTATTATAGCAAGGAAGTACGACAAAACAAATTAATTAGTTGAGAATAAATCACATGACAATTGTAAGTTGTGTTAATTCATGGAGACTAGTACAATAAATAAAGTTTGCGTAGTCTTTTTCTCTAATGCAACAAACTGAAAATAAATCACATGAAAATTGTAAATTACGTCAATGGTTTTAAGGAAACCGGTACAACGAATAAAGTGAGTTTTTCTCCTGTAACAAATTATCCTAGCAATAAGGAAATGCAATAAAGTAAACAAGCTGAGAATAAATCACATAACAATTGTAAATTGCATTAGCGGTTTTATAGGAACTTGTAAAGTTAATAAATTGAGTGATTTTTATCTCTTAAAAGGAATTCTCTTTGCAATGAAATACAACAAAGCAAATCAGTTCAGAATAAAATCACATGAAAATCACAAATTGCATTAGCAATTCTATGAAGAAATTAGTGATTTTTTTGCCTTCGAAATGCTAGAACAACTCTCCCTATGACCCAACATAAGCAAATTAGCCAACCACTAGCTAGCTTATGAGTGTGACATTCACTAGTAAAGAATTTTTTGTGTTATCTTTTAAAAGTCAACAGTAAAAAACTAATAAAGAAATACAAAGTATTAATTACTTGTATAATATATTCTGTATTATCTAATACGGAGTAATAAAGCATAAAATGTTGTAAGAAAATACTGAGAGTTTGACTATTTTCCGGCGTTAGACAATTCGTTTATTGCCTTTTGTTCTTCTTTTACCTTAGCTTTACAACTCCCTCTATTTTACCTTTAAAAAAACACAGACAGACATAAAGCGAGCCAATTTCGGCGGTTGGCGCATTGTAGAAGGTTTGCCCAGTTGAATTTCCCGCAATTTCTCAATTACAGTTGGATTCGCAGTTCTTAGATTAAATTAGGGTTTTTGGCGTTGTTGATTATTGCAATTTTCAATTGACGATGGAGTGAAAATTGGATCCTTTTTTTTTTTTCTGCTGTATGTCTCTTTACTTTAATCTTCTTAAATTTGGACGAATTTAAGACTAGAAATTAGTATTTAAAATTGCAATCATCTATATTAAAGTTATCTTCTACAATTTTTTTTGCGGATTTTTGTGTTGTGTTTTTTGTAGATTGAATCTTATATACAGCTTCAATTATATCTTTGTTGTATTTTTTTTTGCTTTAGGAGAATTTACAAGATTAGGACATGGCATTATGTTTGATTTAATGGGATATTCGACTGCAATTTTATTATTGGTTAGGGTAAAGGTGAGTACATTTGTCCCCGACTTCTGACGAAATTGACAGTGGGTTGTTGTTGAAGAAAATTTGGGTTAAGGAACGAGTAATTAAGTAATATTTTGTGACTTTTTTTCGTGTGAATTCGTCGTTAGATATTGATGTATGATGTTACTGTAACAAAATCTTTGGTGGGGGGGAGGGTGATGATGACACCATTTGATCAAAGTTGGTTTAGAAAGTGGAATATTAGCTAGTTAGGTGTATACTCTTATTAAAAGTGATTTTTCAATTCTGGTAACTGAAATGTACTTGGTTAATTGATTTCCGTGATATTCGCCACATGTTCGAGTTCTCTTGGTTGTTGCGATTTAGGGTGTGTGCATGTGTGTGTGTGTGTGTTGGGGGGGGGGGGGAGTCGGGGTCTGAGGCTCCCCTTCAAATGCAAGTACCAGAATGTGAATACAAATCAAAGTGTCCTAGCTTACTAGCAGATGAGAAATATGGTTGTGGGACTTGGACACGGGTTCAAGTTTCATAGCCAACAATATATATACACTATGCCTTGTAATATGTTTTAAGTAGGACCAGATTCTTTTAATCAATGTTTCCTGCATTTACTCTTGTTGAAAAAATAGTGAAAGGTAATGTTGGGAATTTTGGGGTGCTGAAGGCTTGAAGAAGGTCCATTTCCTCTTCAAGTGGTATGTGTTGAAGCTGAATGCTTTCTGAATTGCTACTTTGACATTTGGTGTCCTTAAACTTTGATGATTGTCTTTATTAATGCTTTATTATCTATAGTTTATTGCTGGCTAATCATCACATATAATGCAGCTATCTAGGATCCTATTCGGTGGGAGGTGTTGTGATTATCTTTTTTTGCAACAGCCTTGAATTATGAAAATTATGCATCTGACAAGGGTATGAAAAGGTTGGACGTGGATGTTCCTCTTCTACTACGTGAGTTTCTTAAAGTCTAAAGTATCTGTGCCCTATCTACCATTAGAGAATTAAGGTAGGGAATTTAAAAGTCAAGACAAACTTTGACTAGATATGTGTGCCCTGGCATTGAGGAATTAGGCTAGGGAAATTGTTTATGTATACATCTGTAGTCCTATAATATGCTGTTTGCTTATCTGAATGGTCAGTTTTGCCAGAAAACCACTAACATCATGTTAGAAACAACTGACGTCAAGTGATATTATGTGATAGCAAGCCAATTCACTTTGGCATCTTTAGTCAGAAGTTACACAGAAGTACAATTTATTCAGAATTTGAAGTCAAAATATGATTTTGAGGAATTACTGTCATACTTCTTTCCAGCGTCCTCTTCTGCCTGTCTGTTGATGAAATCCTTTTCAACTGACTCAATATCTTGCTTGGTTTGTGTCATTGAAATTCACATACGTCTTTACTGTAAGCACCTTAAAATCACCTGAAGTTCTTGCTGATTAACTGGATTAAATCTTTTTCTTTCTTTCTTTCCAGATAACTTGCTACGACTAGTAATCCTGAACAATTGCATAAAACAACGAAGTAATCCTGAACAATTGCATAAAACAACAAAGTAATCCTGAACAAATCGTGATTTTTAAATCAAATGTATGCACAGATTATTTAGCAATCCTTATTTTTTACAGTCTACGTGAACTCGTGAAGTAGTCTCAAGATGCATTATTTATCTTCACAAGTGCTTTTTCCTCCTGTTATATCTCCCATTTTGCTTCCTCTCAAGCTTCTTTTTTCGCTTTATAAATAATTGGCACTCTGATATTATAAATAGAAAACCAAACCTGGACTGAGAATATGTTTGAAAAATTCTTTTTAAATACATAAGATAACAAGTTTGATACATATTGATTGATTAAATTTAGCTTCACTATGATTATAAGAGGTCATAAGGTTGTGTTCTGCTTGTGCCATTCTTTATACACTAGAAAAATCAATAAATCATGAGTTAATTTCACTTGATAGGCATTTCTTTGTTTGTTTGGCTTGATCAGTGTACAGTCTACAGTGTACTTGTTCTATATGGTTTGAGGGGCTAATGGTGATTAGAGAAATTCAATGTATTATAATTTATTCCATAGTAATGCATATGGTAGTCAGTATAGATTTTTGACCACTTGTTCATGGGAACTTGTGGGGCTGATGGTGACTAGAGAAAATAAAAGTCTAATGCATAAATTAAAATATACTATGGAGGGCGCTTGGGGTTGTAATAATTGTAGATATGGATGGCTTTTTTGTTTAATGATTTGCTGTCTCACCACTTGTTTGAAATAGATCATCTCAAAATTGTTAAGAGTATTATTTTTTGACTTCTTTTTTCAGGAGTCAAAATCAACATCATATATATGACTTTGTTGAATTGATACATAATCTGGTGAATCAACACAAATTGTTAACAACTTTTATTTAAAATAAGAAGGAAGCTTCTGGTCATAGTCTTTAAATTAGAAGGAAGCTTCTGGTCATAGTTTTTAAATTAGAAGGAAGCTTCTGGTCAGTCTTCAACTCTTCATTCTTCATGATTCAAGAATCCATATATAGTTCGTACTTTAGAAATTTCTAAGCCTTAGTGGATTATTATTTCCTTAGTTTTTTATTAGATGCATCACTTTCTATGTATGGAAGTTTCAATTTAGATGCTTCACCTTTTTCTTTTACTCAATAGATTCTCTCTATCTTTCTCATATCACATGAGCCCTCTTCAATTTAGATTAAAAAATTGCCTAGGACTCTGCAATTTCAAAGTGATGTATCTAATAAAAAACGAAGTACAAGTCTTTACAATCAAGCAGTAAGTCTACTTGAAAAACAAACGGGTTTTTGTTTAACTTTTTTGTTTTTTGGAGTTAGCAGTTTGCTATACTAGCAAAGATAGAATACTAACTAAAGTCTGATGAAATTTCAGGTCATGTTGAAAGATTATGGAGTAACATGGGTATCAGGTACCCTCAAAATTCTCTTATGCATTTGGTGTTACTTTCTTTCTAGCAACAACATCATCCTTGTTAAAAGCCTTTCTTCATATGCTAATGTCTCGAATTCATTGGAAAATAATAATAACTGGCTTATTAATGAAGGGAGCTATTATTCTGATGATAATTATATTATAAGAACAGCCTTGTACTCTCCAGAGTACATCCATCGTAATTATAATAAGTATGGAGTTAAGACAAGTACTGATTATTATCCTCCATTTGGATTTGGGCTTTTCGCCCATCAAACTGCACCTGATTCATATGTACTTGTGGTATATATTGGGAAGGATAATTTTTCCCCTGTGGTGGTTTGGTGTGCCAATCAAGCTCATCCTGTTCAAGGGCTTGCCACACTTGCTCTTACATCTGAAGAAGGTTTGGTATTAAGGGATGAAGATGGAAGTTTTGTGTGGTCTACCAACACCCCTGGCCTTTCAGTGAGGTCAATTCAGTTGGGAAGTGATGGGAACTTGGTCCTTTTAAATGGAAATGGGAAAATCATCTGGGAGTCCTATAATAACCCTACTGATACGTTAATCCAAGACCAGCGCCTTCCACTGGACCATAGATTAATGTCCACATCATCAATTTCAAGTAATTCCTCAGAGCTCTTTTATGTGATTCGAGATCATTATGGTCTTCATGCTTTTGTTGATTCGAATACTTCACAATACTATAGTTTCCGGCATATTGAAGAAGGTAGTTGGAACAGTATCTACCAAATTTTCAGTTCTTCGCCCTTGTATTCTGCTGAGTACAATTATAAGAATAGTTATATGCGTCTTGATCGAGATGGTCACCTACGTACATATATTTGGAAAGAAGGTGAGATTTACACCAGTGATGTCTTTGATAATGATAATTGTTCATACCCTACAATTTGTGGAAAGTATGGAATTTGCAAGGATGGTGGTAAATGTAGTTGTCCAACAGGCGGGGATGATGGTAGCTGGGATTACTTCAAGCCAGTTAATTCATTTGATTCCAGTTCAGGATGTAGCCTAGTTACACCTCTATCTTGTCCTAACAACCACAATCTCCACACTTTTCTAGAGTTTGATAATGTGACCTACTTTGCCCTTACTCCCTCTCTCACAAAAATAGATGCCGAGAGCTGTAAAAGTGTGTGTTTGAATAATTGTTCGTGTAAAGCCGTCTTCTTTCGTTACCATATGGATACCTCCTTTGGTAACTGTACGCTAACTTCTGAGATACTCACTTCGATGGATGTTTCTGACCAATATTTGGCCTATAAGGCCGTTGCATTCATCAAAGTGCAAAACAAGGCATCAACAAAAGCTTCATTGAAGAAAAAATCGGTACTTCTTGTATCTTCTGGGTCAATACTCTTAGTTATGGTTATTGTGTTTATGATATGGAGGCGAAAAAGTAATAATGCCAAGGATTTTGATTGTTCCCTTGATGTTTTTGTTGATAACATAAGTCGGTTCTCTTTTGAAGATCTGAAATTGGCAACCCAAAATTTCCAAACAAAGCTTGGTCGAGGAGGATTTGGGTCTGTATTTGAAGGTACGTTAGGTAATGGAGCAAAAGTTGCTGTAAAACAATTGGAATCAGTAGGCCAAGGGAGGAAGGAATTCCTGGCCGAGGTCAACACAATAGGTAGCATTCACCACTTCAATCTAGTGAGGTTAATTGGGTTTTGTGATGATGGACTGAATAGACTTCTTGTCTATGAATACATGTGTAATGGGTCATTAGAGAAGTGGATCTTCAATCAAGACACATCACAGACACTAGGCTGGAACCTACGTCGAAAGATTATTGATGGTGTGGCTGTGGGGCTTGAGTATTTACACGAGCACTGCAATCAAAATGTGATCCATTTTGATATCAAACCTCAGAACATACTCCTGGACAAAGACTTCAACATCAAGATTTCTGATTTTGGCTTAGCAAAAATGGTAGACCGAGATCAAAGCCATGTTATGACCATGGTAAGGGGGACACCAGGATATATGGCTCCTGAGTTGGTTACTGGTCGTGCCATCTCTGTTAAAGTTGACGTCTACAGCTTTGGAGTTCTTGTCTTAGAAATTGTGTGTGGCCGTAGGAATTTTGGTTCATCAGAAGGTGATTGTCTCACTAACTTGGTGAAGGTGAAGGCTGATGAGGATCAACTCTCTGATCTAGTTGACGAGCATGGTGAAGGTATGCAACAACACAAGGAAGAAGCTGTGAAGTTAATGAAGATTGCAATATGGTGCTTGCAGCCTCACTTTATCAGGCCAACTATGTCAATGGTGGTGAAAGTTTTACAGGATCTTCCGAACATGGAGGCTCTAACTGATCTCACCTACTTAAACATGGTCCATGAAGCAGCTCCAATGGAGGCAAATTACGGCTTTTCAGTCTGTCCTACAGATTCACTTTTGTCTGGACCTCGTTGATGAATTTATTTAACTATAGCCTGTTTTAGAAGCAGTTGATATTTTCTATTTTGTACTGTATCCTTTCTTATTTTTGTTCGACCACAATAAGTTTTGCAATATTGTATTATAGATTTTTAGCCTTTTAGGCTATGTAATATTTCTTCAATGTTTAATGGAGGCCAAAAACCTGTTGAAGATCATCTTTTTTGAAGAAGCTAAGCTAGCTAGCTTTTAGTTGAACATAAAAACATCTAATTAAAATGAGAAAAATCAATATGATGCACTTTTCCAAGACAGTTGCTGGGAATTTGTATCGTTTGATCTTGCATTCAAATCGTTGTGTGTGTGTTCAATTCTATAAACATTAAAGTAGAATTCACTAGCTATAGTTTCAGTAGCATATACATATACAATAACATAATCTGTCATATCCAACGATAACATGTAAAAAAACAAACACAATTTGATAATCAGATGTTCAGGTCTTCAGAAGTTCAGGCTGTTAAGCTGTCCTGAATCAAGTCATGAACAGCTTCATCCTTTAACAGCCTGCAAAAATATGACAAGATCGACGACTTGCTTAGTACAGTTACAAACAATCTGCTGGCTCCAATGATAATATATTGAAAATTGAAGGTGTATACTTTGTTACGAACTTACTGATTACAACGAAAAGAAACATAACCAAGAACGAAATCACAAGGCAGTACCATCTATTGGCAGAGTACCCCCAAGAAACTTGAAATCTTGCAACTCCTTAAAGTTCAACCATGGTTTAACCCAAATTTTAGCTTCATAATACTGAACTTCATTGTTGTTTCCTGCATCATTTGCCTCCAAAGTAATGTAATACAACGTACCAGCTACTACTTGCTCTTTCACATTTACAACCTTCCGGAACTCCAGTATTGAGTTCTGTATATAATTTTTCACAAGTTCAATAAAATTTCTGAACCAACTAAATCCATTAAAGAGAAATAATTTTAATATACATGTTAGGACGGTCCAATTCTTATTCTCCTACCCTCTCTGTTTCTAAATAATCGCAACAGTATATATGTTAGGAAAACAGATACTTTTTGCAAGTTGAACGGTCCAATTCTTATATAAATATACTCCTACCCCGTTTGTTCCTACATAATCGCAACAGTTAGTTTGAGATTGCATGTAATATGGGAAATACGTACCTGTTTCTTGTTCTGCTCATCAACAGCAAATTTGGCAAGATCATTGATCACCAAGCTGTTCTCTGAACCCTTATTCTCTGAAACACCTCCAACCATTGCCATCTTGCTTTTCTTCTTTTAATTTCTTTATAACTTTCTTCACGTTTTGAATTCAGCTGATTAATGAACTATTTTTATAAGAGAGTTTTTTTCAAAGAGATAATAATAAGATAATCTTGGTCAAAATGAGATGGATTGTTATAATGTACTTTGTATAATTTATTTTATTATGATACAAGTAATAATCAAGCTTGGATAATCTTATCTTCTTAAGACAAACATAATAGCGAAGGATTACTTCATCGTTTGAGTGGGATGATACATCTTCATTTTTCAATTAATACATTGACAAGTGGATTATATATATTGTACTCCTATTTGTAAGATAACTCATAGTTTATGTCCATAATAATCAATAATTACGTACGAGTTGTTTATTTTCAACAAAGGTGTGCATTGAATTGATTAAAGTACGTTGATCAAATTAATATGGAATAAATTTCTTTGTACTTCAAGAACGGAATAATACAAGTAATACAACAAATATTGAGTCAGAATAATTAAGATAGCCAATACATGTCAAAATAAATCATCAACTGAATGGAGTATGTAGTATCTTTTATTATAAGAATGTAGGTTTAAGGTGTTGATATATTTTTGTATCAATTGCTAGAATTATTCATATTATTCCACTAGAATTAACTTGCACTCGGTATTGATTAATTAGAGGGAAGGATAAAACTAGTTTTGTGCCAAATTGACCTGTTTTAGGGCATGTTCACTTCAGCTTAATTTTAGTTCAGTTTAGCCTTCTCTTCAAAAAAATATTCATTTTAGCTCCATTTAATTTAGTTCAGTTTAATTCAGTTCCAATAAATTTAGTTAGTAAATATGAAAAGACCCTTACTTTTTTGCCAAATCAAGAAATCAGGACATACAATTTGAGTTTTTTTTTTTTGTCTCAGCATTATTGAAAATCACTCCACATCTTATTATTATTATTAATTTTTTTTATTGAGATGATAGTCAAACTACGAAGACGTTTTTAGGTGATAGTCAAACTATGAAGACGTTTTTAGGTGATGGTCCAACAATCACCTAAAAAGGTCTTGGTAGTTTGTTTGTCAAACATTTGGGCTACTTCGTTTATACAAGCCCAACCGATTAAAAGTCCAAAACCCAAAGCCCAAATTGTAAGCCCAACTTGTATAAAACTTCCAGCACACGATTTTACCTGTATTATCTCTCTCACTCTCTCCTCTTTAACCGACCCAAAAATATAATTCAAAATTCAAAACTAACACTCTCACACAAATTGAAGAAGAAGAAGAAGAGAGAGAAATTGAAGCTTTCAAAGTTGGTAAAAATGGCGACTGCAAGAGTTGATATGAAAGGATTCTATAAGCAGAAGAAGAAAGGTAATACTGGAATTTCAAAACCTTCTCCCAAAGGTCTTAACAAGAAGAAGACTCCTTCTCCTTCTTTTGTATCCGACATCGCTCAATCTCCTGCTCTTGTTACTCGCAATGGCTCTTTTGATCTTCAAGGTCTTTATCTTTTTCTCTCTCCTACTTTTAATTTTGTTTGAACTTTATCAATTTTTTGCTGTTGAATGATATTTTATTTTTTTGCGGTTTTTGAAGTGTTTTTGATTTTTGGTTGATTATGTTTCAAATTTGGTAAAGCGTTGTTTGTTTTTGATGATTTGTGTTGTTTGTTTTTGATGATTTGTGTTGTGTGAATTGAATGATTTTTTTTTACGAATTTAATCCTTTTTTCCTCTAATAATTGGTTAATTCGACAATTTCTGTCAAATTTGGCTAACTATGATCATTATTTTGCTATTAAAGTAATTTTTTAGATAAATCAATGTATTGTTGACAAATTAGTATTGGAAATTATACATTTTGATTTTTATAGCTAAATGTGGCTGGTAAGTTTGCAAAAGGTGTACTTAGGATGATCTTATAGAATATTCGGGCTAATAAGCAGGATGTGGTTTTATTCGATTGAAGAGTCTTATTTTTCTGGTGAACTTTTTCTTGGCAGATGATTATGATCAGAATGAGGAAGTGTTGAGGCAATTTGACATGAACATGATGTATGGACCGAGCATTGGTATGACTAGGCTTGATCGATGGAACCGTGCCAGTAAGTTGGGATTGAACCCTCCTAAAGAGGTTGAGAACCTTTTAACATCGGACAAGGTTCGTCCTGAATCCTTATGGGATAGTCGTGTTTGAGGTGTTAAACTGGTTTAATGGTTGATGTCATCTCAATCCAGACTTTAAGTTTTAGAGGTTAGACGCTCTTGCTCTTAAATTGTGCAGTTTGTGTTAGTTGATTATCACTTCTCGGTGATATTAAGTTCCTGGTTGTTAGCTTTATTCTCTACTTGAATGCTGTAAGTTAGTTATGCTGCTGGGAGTCTATGCACTCCTGTTATGTAAGAATTAGCAACTTCTCTGGAGATTTTCTTTTGTACTTTCCATCTAATTAAACATAATCCTATTACAAAATGGTGCTATCTCAAGTTTCATTTCTTGCTGTCAATCATCTTTCATGTTTAAGATCACATATGCGCCATCTTGTCTGAAGAAAGATGTGCTGTTAATCTTTTGTTGTCTGTAAATTCTTCAACAAAAAGATAATGATTGTAATTCAGAAATATGAGAATATGTATGTTGTTATGTGCCAAATGCTATTTTTTTTAATTCAGCAAAGTTTACTCTCTGTCTATTTGATATGGATCCTAACTATTAAGATTTTTAGTGTTGTATAGGAAATAAGAATACATACTTTTTGATCATTGGTTTTTTAAATCTTCATTGATCGGAGAATTCATAACCTGAATGGTTAACCAACCTAAATAACTTTGATAGTTGGATTTCATAATTATTACCTGAAATTTTGTTGTTAATTACACAATCTTTAAAAACAAGAAGGGCGCAAAAAAAGAGATACGAGTTGAAGCATAGAATACAGATTAAACAGATAGAAGTATAGATTACTGATTAAACAGATGGAAGCATAGAATACAGATTAAGTAAGCAGATGCTAGTTTTCAGCAGTACATTAATTTATTGTATTGAGAATACATAAATAGGAAGACGAACTGGTACAAGCAAGAGCTATGGCTATTTGATTTACCTGAAAAAACATAGAAGATAGTGTAGAGTTCTGATGACATCCATAGAAGATAGTGTAGAGTTCTAATGCTGCCACAAGTGCAGCTAAGAAACTCGAGATAGGACTAGCTGCAGATTAACGCGGTCCAGACAAAAGTGACTCTGTCGGGCGGACTGAAAATTCATAATTTGTCTCCGCTGGAGCAGCTTCTTGGACCATAGTTAAGTAACTGAGATCACTCAAGGCTTCCATGTTTGGAAGGTCCTGTAAAACTTTCACCACCATTGACATAGTTGGCCTGATGAAGTGAGGCTGCAAGCACCATATTGCAATCTTCATCATCTTCACAGCTTCTCCCTTGTGTTGTTGCATATCTTCCCCGTGCTCGTCGATTAGATCAGAGAGTTGATCCTCATCAGCCTTCACCTTCACCAAGTTAGTGAGACAATCACCTTCCGATGAACCAAAATTCTTACGGCCACACACAATTTCTAGGACAAGAACTCCAAAGCTGTAGACGTCGACCTTAACTGAGATGGCACGACCAGTAACCATCTCTGGAGCCATATATCCCGGTGTCCCCCTTACCATGGTCATAACTTGGCTTTGATCACGGTCAACCATTTTTGCTAAGCCGAAATCAGAAATCTTGATGTTGAAGTCTTTGTCTAGGAGTATATTCTGAGGTTTGATATCAAAATGGATCACATTTTGTTTGCAGTGTGTATGTAGGTATTCAAGTCCCGCAGCCACACCATTAATAATCTTTTGGCGTACACTCCAGGTAAGTGCTAGTGATACGTCTTGGTTGAAGATCCACTTTTCAAGTGACCCATTACACATGTATTCGTAGACAAGAAGTCTATTCAATCCATCATCACAAAATCCGAGCAACCTCACTAAGTTGAAGTGGTGTACGCTGCCAAATGTATTGACCTCTGCCAGGAATTCCTTCCTCCCTTGGCTTAATGAATCTAGGCGTTTCACAGCAACTTTTGTTCCATCATCTAGTGTACCTTCAAAAACTGATCCAAATCCTCCTCGACCAAGCTTTGTTTGGAAGTCTTGGGTTGCCAATTTTAGTGCTTCAAAAGAAAACCGCTTTACTGTATCAACAAAAACGTCATTGGAACAATCAAAGTCTTTCGCTCTGTTTCTCTTTTTCATAAACACAAAAACAAATACTCCAGTAACCAACACCAAGACTATCAAGCCAGCAGAAACGGAAAGTACTAATATTCTGTGCGATGAAGTTTTCTTTTGCATTTTGATTAATGTAACGACATTATGTCTTCCTCCAGTATCCTTCAAAGTGAGAATCTCTGAAGGTAGTGTACAATTACCAAATGAGGTATCATTATGGTAATGAAAGATGACAGCTTTGCAGGAACACTCTTGTAAACATGCACTTTTGCAACTCTGAATATCTGTTCCTGTGAGCGATGGAGTAGAATCGAAGTAGTCAATATTTTCAAGCTGTAAGAAATAATGGAGGTCTTTGTCGGGACAAGCTAGAGGATTAACAAGACTACATCCTAAAGAGGAATTAAATGCGTTAATTGGCTGGAAATAAAGCACGCCACCTTCATCAGTCTCCATTGGACAACCGCACTCAGTTTTATTTACGCAAATCCCGTAGTTTCCACAAGTTCTTGGGTAGGCACAATCACCAAACTTCACATCTTCAAAATAATCAATAATGGGAGCGCTTTGATTCCAGTCGCTTTGATTCCAGTTGATCCATTTTAGGCGTCCAGTGGCAGTAAGAAGCATATAACTTAGATTAAAACCATCATAACTAGCATAGTATAAACTTTGGAATACTATGTCGTGGTAGGTACTATACTCCAAGAATCTATATTCTTGTGGAGGATTCAAATCAACATAAGCATGAAGACCATCAGATTCCCATTTAACACAATACATCCCAGCGGAATAATCTGAAGTTGATTTGCTGGATGTTAATCTATGTCCTACGGGAAGACCATGCCTAACATCCAGTAAAGTGTCGGTTGGGTTATCAAATGACTCCCAGATGCTATTCCCTTTTGCGTCCAAAAGGACCAAATTCCCATCGTCTTGCAAATGGATAGACCTAACTGAAAGGTTCGAGGTTTTGGTTGACCACACCAAATTTCCATCTACATCCCTTAATACCAAACCTTGTTCTGATGTAAGATGAAGTGTTGCATTGTCTCCAATGGGATGATCTCGATTGGCACACCACACAACAGCGTCCTAATGATAATAATCGTAGTCATCATGGGACCCCATGAGTATAGCAAGTACGTATGAAGAACCGTAGGAGACAAAAGCAAACGCAAAGGAAGGATAAGCGCCCTCAGAGTTCAAGATCAGGACATTAGAGGTGATGTTATTGACCTTGAACCATGAATAATGAGAAACATTTTTATATGATGGTGGTAGTTTGTAGTCTGGGTCGTTTACAAAGTCGGCAGAATATATAGAAGCAACAATCTTATTGGTGTTAAAAATTAAGCATAAACAAGTACATAATAGCAACTTAAATATTGTACCTGATACCCACTTAAATCCCACATCTTTCATCAGCATATCCTGGAGTTTCATCAAATTTAAATTTAGAGTATTTGTCTTTCTGTTTGATTGCAAAACTATCAAAGCAATCTGAAATTACAGCTCCATCCTCCTCTTACAGGACATAGCAATCATGCATTGACTCGAAAGACTTTGAATCTTCTCTTATTGATCATTGTCTCCATTAGCCCAACAGTATATTACAGCTCATTAGGTCATCATATTCATACACGAGACTTGACCAAGTAAACCATACTGAGCCAGTGAAGTCAATATAGTTAGCTTTTTCCAATTTTCCATGGGAACAAGAAATATACAACTTGTACAACTAGGCCTACTACTATAGTCTTGACTTCTTAGTCTTTAGCCAATGAACAATAATGAGTTCTGATTTAGTGGTTAAGACTTAGAGTTTGTGTATAAATTGATAGGTCATTGTTTAGTTCAAATATCTCATTTTCGTCAAAAAAAAAAAAAAAAAAATCTCCTCTCCTGGCCAATTTCAATTTGTATTGTCCTTCTAGCTCATTCGAACAACAAAAAAAGTCTATATATATGTACGGACATTAGTTGATTCATTATATTCTTTAGGAAATTTTACAAAAAATCACCTTTATAAGCAATTTTTTTTGCAATAAACCAGTAGTTATAAACAATTTTTTTATAAGGTGACATTAATTGATCAATTATTATTAATTGACATTAATCAAGAATATCATGACATTAATCTATTTTTTGTGAAAATGTTGCATGATCTTCCACCACCACCATTTATTTTAGTACCATATTCTTTTTGACAAAGTTACTGTCAATGATTGATATTCTTGCTTTCATAAGTATTGCCCTATGCGCCCGTCGCACCCAAGTGCTCAATATAAGGAGCTAAGCTACACAAACTTAACAGTATTACAATGTAAGATAAGCATAGATGTTATAATGCATGTTATATTGTTATTACATTCCTTCATCAGGCATTTACATAATTAGATAAATTTACTTAATGGTAGGGGAATGATCAAAGCTTGCACGAAGCAACGTTAGTTTTTCGCCGTAGTCCTTGATATCGGCAGCTGCTACTGCGCCAGTCTCGCTGTCCCAGGAATGACTTGTACTACGAGATGCATCCAATTTTTGTTCGATTTCATTCCATTCCATTTTCATGAGCCGGCCTAGATGCCCTGCTTCTACATACACCTGCAAAAAAAAAAAAAAAAAATGAATACATTGACTGATGATCACTTATCAAACCAAAATGTACTACATTAATTAATTTCTAACTAGTGTGTATCCTAGGTGATGCCTCGGGTTGCTAATTTGTGTACTTCTTGCTTTAATTTAACAATTATGTTGGACTATTTGTGTAGTTAGTTTATGTAGTGATTCGAGCATTGCCTTGGATGTCACTTATTTTTTTTTTTTTTACATCATATGTATTTATATTTTAATCTTGTGAAAAATAAATGAATTATATTACCTCTAATTTACTTAATAAATGAAAGGAATATTATAATATTATGTGAAATTTGAAACATTAATAATAAGTTGGTTGAGATGATAAAAGTATTACATATATATATATGGGAGGTTATGGGTTCGAATATTATAATATTATGGGTTCGAATCTTGTTGAAAGCTTATTTTATTTGTTAAATGAGGTTCTTTAAAAAGAACGTCTTTTAATATAGAGTGTAGATGATTCTTTCTTTCAAAAAAATTTAATTTCTAATGATCTTTTAACACTTTTCATTCTGATTTGTTTCTACTAACACAATTACACTTTAACTTTAATCCAATTTTGGTATATCGTGTGTTGTTTATTACATTACCTCTCTTAATTACAGTCTTACCCCACAATATTTTTTCATTTACCCTCATTTTGTTTTACTTTACCCGTATTTTTTGTACACTTACCTACCCACCCACTCATCGAGTTTTTAAATTCTTATTCAAATAGTAAATGTTAAGATAAAATAAAAACAGAGGTAGCACGTTTTATTAAGTGTGGTTATAATTTATAAGTATAACATACCCTTTTAAGCTCATTAGGGTTGTCAGGCTTGTCCCAAGCCAAGAGCCATCCAAGCTTAGGAGGAGCATGATTATCGATATGACCATATATCATCGAACCCTTCGACCCTACAACAACCGGGAGAGTCCCTTGCCACGGGACGCCTTGGTGCACAAACCCACCACTAGCATGCTCACCAATAGTCTTATCATGAGGCTTGGCTATGAATTGCCCCTTCCAATCATGGGACTTATTAAGCATAATTCCACAAGGTTGGAGATTCTTTATTACTCCTGTCACCAAAACTAGCTCATCTTGGCTCACTTCGCTTTCTCCTTGTTGTTTGCTAACATTGTTTGTGCTTCTTTCTTTGCTTGCTCTCCTATTGTTGCTCTCTCTGCCTTCCCCGCGAATTGATGAATTGCACCTCGGACTTGTTGGTCTGATGCCATTGTAGTCGCGCCACCTAAAGCGTTGCATAAAATATATATCAGATTGAAACCAACACTATATATATTATTACTCCATAGTATAAATACACAGAAATGAAGAAAGTTAAGTATACCTTAATTAAGTACAATATTAATTGATGAGTGAAGTTTATGGTTAACTGTTTTCAATTGTGTATTTATGAAGGGAAAGCGAAAAAGGTTGCGTACATATGCATTTTGATGAATCTAATAGTACTATAGGTGGCAAAATAGTGTAAGAAGAATCAAGTCCAAAAATAAAAGAAGGAATTTGGGGATAAAATAATGCCTTGTCTTTGTCATAATATTTTAAACTAAGAGAATATAATTAGTTGTCTTTAAAGGCTTCTCAGAGGTTGTTATATTCATAATGTGTAGAATTAAATTTAGGTTGGACGCGTTGAAACATTAATGAGGAGTCGTGTGATTTTTTATTTTTTGATACTTAGAAAGGATTAGGCCGAAAATTATTTGACAAAATATCGTGTATTAGCTAAGGTTCAATGATTATAGATACGTATTAATTAAGATATATCAGAACCACATTCCTTCTTCCAATTATACAAAACCAAGGAGCATAATTTATTGATTAGCTTATTAAATACAATATTCAAACATGATAAAGCTTGCATAATGGAAAATGCGAGTTAAAAAAGTCCTAGTGCCTCTGTGGTAGTAAGATATACTTTTTCGTTCAAATTACAATATTAACGTGACTATTTATTTTGCACAAAGAGATACAATATTATATTATGTCGATGATGGGTCTTGGAATTAAGATTGGGAAGTGTTTTCATCAAAGAACACTTGATCAAAGCTTGCTCCAAGCAAAGCCAGGTTGTCGCCTAGAAGGTTGATTTCAGCAGCTGCTATAGCTCCTGTCTCGCTATCCACGAACCGACTTTCGTTGCTAGATGCATCCAATTTCTGCTCAATATCACTCCATTCCATTTCCATGAGCTTGCTTAGGTTCCCAGATTCCACATACACCTAAAAACAATTTTTTAAAAACCACTTAAACAATGTATAAAAAAAAAATTACATAAAAAATATAGTTATTTGAAAACAAATTAAACCAAAACATTACCTTATGTTCATCAGAACTCTGAGCTTTGAACCAAGCCAAGAGATATCCGAGTTGAGGTAAAGCCCTATCGAAGGTACCATATATCAACGCGGCCTTACAGCCTATGATCACGGGGCCTGGACCGCCTCCACCTGGAATATGAGGCAAAGTAGGAGCCCTATGAATAAACCCACCACTACCAACATTTGTAGGAGGTGCCACTACGAAAACTCCAAACCCATTAAGCGTTTTATTTAGCACAAGTGGCCTGTTTTGGGAATTTTTTATAACACCTGCAACTGTAGCGAGTTGAATCTCGTCTGCATCATTGTTGTTGTTTTCCAACAAGGTTTGAGCCTCCTTTATCGCCTCACTAATTGTTGCTTTCTCCTTAACGGTTAATTGGGTTAAACCCTGGTCTACTTGTTGCACCGAAGTCATTGTTTCCTAGCTAGCTACCTCTACAAGGAAAAAAATAATAATAATGGTCAAAATTCATTCTATATGACCATAAACAATAACAAACATTAAGGTAGAAAGAGAAGTAGATCGAGTATTATGCTTTGTTTTTTTCAACTTATTATTCTTATGAAAATCAAATCAGAAAAATACAAAATATTGAAGCAAACATCTAAGGATTTAGATATGTACAAAAGATTGAACATAGTATTAATGGATATACTAGCTTTGTTAGTTTTAATTTATTTGTAACGATTAGATATTTTCTACTAACATTTTATGTCAAATAATTACAAATAATTTAAAACAGATCGAGGTAGTATTTTACAGTTGGAATAATATTGAACAATCCATGCATGTACTAGCTAGCTAAGTAATAAACGAAATTAAGATAGCTATTAGTGCTCGACCCGACCTTATGATGAACTACAGAAAAGAGATCAGGATAGAATGTGTACCTCAGCTCGAATACAATAATGGAAATTAAAGAAGATTAATATGAATTGCAATAATGGATGAAGATTGAATAATTTTGGGTTCACCATTTGAATGTATTTATAGAGGGACGAACAAGAGGAATATTATTTGCAACGAAATTATTTTTGTATGACAGGCCAAAATTAAGAAAAATTCGTGTCAAAATTGATGGCTTGATGCGTAGGATAGTAGTTGTCATCAAAGTCATAAACTTATCCCAAAAAAATAATGATGTTTGCACTAAATAGAATAGAGAGCCACCACCACAGAGATGTGAGAATCGATACCAGATCTACTGCAATCGAGAGGAAAGTCTAACCACTCGAGCTATCCCTCACTCTCATTTTATTAATTTTATTAATATTGTTAATAACTAATATGATGAATTGTCAATTGTATAGAATATAGTGATAAATTGTCCTTGTTGAAAAAAGAAATTAAGTGTCGGTGTTTGTTCAAAGTCGTCCATGTTTATCCATTGATTTGAATCTTAATGAGCAAGCTAAACTCCCAATTTTTGTACGGAGAACAAGGTTTGATAGAAAATGCAATACTGTACTTTCTAAACCAACTACTGTGTACTTAACACTAGAGCTGTCAAAAGTTGACCCGACCCAAAATATCGACTTAAACCCGATTATTAACCGACCTATTTGAATCCGGAAAAATGGTGACCCAAACCCGACCTGACCCGACCTGAAACCAACCCTAGACCCGAGTTGATCCGAGTATGTGAGACCCGAACCCGAACATGAACTGACCTGGAGATGACCCGACCCAAATGTAACTCGTAAATTATTGACCTGAACCGAACCTGACTTGAACCAAAATTGACCCAAACCCCTTTTAACCCGTCTAAGAATTTAACCCGACTTGTTACTAATCTGACTTGAATTCAACCCGACCCGAATTTAACCCAACCTGTTACAAACGCGACCGAAATCAACCCGACTTGTTATTGACCTGACCCAAATTCAACCCGACTTGTTATTGACCCGACCGGAATTTTACAAAACCTATTACTAACCCGACTCAAAAATTCAATCTGATCTGTTACTAACTCGACTCGAAATCAACACGACTTGTTATTGACTCGACCTAATTCAACCCAAATTGTTCCCGACCCAATTTCAAATCACTTTAAATGCAATTTAGACCACCTTATTATTGTTAGTCAAAGCATTTTGTCTAGGGAGACCAAGTCGGTGGAGGCCAGCAAAAGAAAGGAGCATCATCCTCAAATTTAAGAGTTAAATATAGTATATAGTATTTGTTGTATGGTAAAAAAAGATAATTATCTTCCTAAATTATAAACTATATTTCCCTATTATATTCCCATATATATTATAGTCAAAGGAAATCATTAGCTTGGTAAAAATGATAATTATCTATTTATAGTTAGTTGAACTCGAATATGACCTGACTTGGAAATGACCCGACCTGATTGTAACCTGCAAATTATTGACTAAAACATAACCCTACTTGAATCCGAGAATGACCCGACTTGAAAATGACCCAACCTGATTATAACCCGCAAATTATTGACTTGAACCGAACCTGACTTGAATTTGAGAATAACCCGACTTGAAAATGACCCGACCTGATTATAATCCGCAAAATATTGACTTGAACCGAACTCGACTCAAACCCGAGAATGACCCGACCTAATCTACCCCGCAAATTATTAACTTGAACTAAACCCAACTCGAACCCGAGAATTACCCTAACTCGCTTAACCCGTGAAAACCCGAATTAAACCCGACCTATTGTTCACCCAACCCGAATGTAACCTGACGTAAACCCGACCCAAACCCGATAAGAAGTATGACCCGACGTGATCCGACTCAAGCATGACCCAACCCAAACCCGGCCTGCATAGGTTATGGAATTAATCCGAATTGAATTGACCCGAGTTGACCCAACCCACTCTTACTGACCCAAACCCGACCCGTTTACCAGAATTGACAGCTCTACCCAAAACCTCCAAAATTTCTCAAAAAACGTGGACATTAGCCTTCAATTTTGGGATTTTTTGACTTTTTTTCACCCGAAAATAAAAATTGCCGAAATTTTTACCATGGTCCCTAATACCCTCCGGGAGTCTAACTGGCCGGGTGGAACCATCCAATTTGTCTTTAAACGACCAATTTACAGGTTTACAACTTGCGCCGATTTCATTAACTCAAGCCTACCAAAAATATTTATGAGAACATATAATGATCATATATGGTTCCAAACGGCATTATATGACCCCGAGATGTTTCCCCTAAAATCTAAAGGATTTTCGAAACCGAGCCCCGAAACCTCCAAAATTTCACAAAACGCGTGGATATTAGCCTTCAATTTTTGTATTTTTTTACTTTTTTTCTCCGGGAAATAAAAATTACCAAAATGTTTTCCATGGTCCCTAATAACCTCCGGGAGTCCAATTGGGTGGGTGAAACCATCCTATTTGCTTTTAAAAGACCAATTTAACGGTTTACAACTTTCACCGAATAAATTAACTCAAGACTACTACGAACATTTATGATAACATATAATTATCATATATGGTTCCAAAGGACATTATATGACCCCGAGATGTTTCCCCTTAAATCTCAAGGATTTTCGACACCGAACCTCGAAACCTCCAAAATTTCTCAAAGAGCATAGATATTATCCTTAAATTTTGGAATTTTTTTACTTTTTTTTCGCCTGTAAATAAAAATTACCGAAATGTTTACCATGATCCCTAATACCCTCCGAGAGTCCAATTAGGAGGGTGGAACCATCCAATTTGCCTTTAAATGGTGAATTTAACAGTTTACAAGTTGCACCGATTTCACTAACTCAAGCCAACAACGAACATTTATGACATCATATAATGATAATTTATGGTTTAAAACAGTATTATATGACCCCGAGATGTATTCCCTAAAATCTCAAAACTTTTAAAAACCGGACCCCGAAACCTCAAAAAAATTTCAAAAAGCGTGGATATTAGCCTTCAATATATGACTTCGAGATGTATTCCCTAAAATCTCAAAACTTTTCAAAATCGGACCCCGAAACCTTTAAAATTTTTCAAAAAGCGTGGATATTAGCCTTCAATTTTGGAATTTTTTGAATTTTTTTCACCCGAAAATAAAAATTGCCAAAATGTTTACCATTGTTACTAAAACCCTCCGGTAGTACAATTAGGTGGATAGAACCATCCAATTTGTAATTAAACGACCAATTTACCGGTTTACAACTTGTACTTATTTCATTAACTCAAGCCTTCCCCGAACATTTATGACAACATATAAAGGTCATTTGTGGTTTCAAACGTCATTATATGACCCAGAGGTGTATTCCCTTGAATTTCTAGACTTTTAGACATCGGGCCATGAAGACTCCAAAATTTCTCAAAAACCATGGATATTAGCCTTCAATTTTAGAATTTTTTTACTTTTTTTCGCCCGTAAATAAAAATTGTCGAAACATTTACCATGATTCCTAGTACCCTCCGGGAGTCCAATTGTGTGGGTGGAACCATCCAATTTGCCTTTAAACGACCAATTTACCGATTTACAACTTGCACCGATTTCATTAACTCAAGCCTACAACGAACATTTATGACAACAAATAATGATCACATATGGTTCCAAATGACATTTTATGACCCCGAGATGTATCCCCTAGAATTTCAAGACTTTTCGACATTGAGCCCCATATCCTCCAAAATTTCTCAAAAAGCGTGGATATTAGTTAGCCTTCAATTTTGAAATTTTTGACTTTTTTTCGCTCAGAAATAAAAATTGCCGAAATGTTTACCATGGTCCCTAATACTGTCCGGGAGTCCCGTTGGGTGGGTGGAACCATCCAATTTTCCTTTAAACAACCAATTTACCGGTTTACAACTTGTACCGATTTCATTAACTCAAGCCTACCACGAACAATTATGACAACAAATAATGATCAGATATGGTTCCAAACAGCATTATATCAACCTGAGATTTATCCCGTAAAATTTCAAGACTTTTGGACACCGAGCCCTGAAACCACCAAAATTTCTCAAAAAGCGTGGATATTAGTCTTTTATTTTGGAACTTTTTAACTTTTTTTTCGTCTAGAAATAAAAATTGCCAAAATGTTTTTAATGGTCCCTAATACCCTCCAGGAGTCCAATTGGGTTGGTGTAACCATCCAATTTTCCTATAAACGGCCAATTTAATTACCAGTTTACAACTTGCACGGATTTCATTAACTCAAGCCTACTACGAACATTTATGACAACATATAATGATCATATATAGTTTCAAACGGCATTATATGACCACGAGATGTATCCCTTAAAATATTAATACTTTTCAACACCGGGCCCCTATACCACCAAAAGTTATCAAAAAGCGTGGACATGTCTTCAATTTTGAAATTTTTTGATTTTTTTCGCCTGTAAATAAAAAATAGTCGAAATGTTTACCATGGTCCCTAATATCCTCCGGGAGTCCAATTGGGTGGGTGGAACCATCCAATTTGCCTTTAAACGAATAATTTACCGGTTTACAACTTGCACCGATTTCATTAACTCAAACCTACAACGAATATTTATGACAACAAATAATGATCACGTATGGTTCCAAACGACATTTTATGACCCCGAGATGTATCCCCTAGAATTTCAAAACTTTTCGACACCGAGCCTCAAATCCTCCAAAATTTCTCAAAAAGCGTGGATATTAGTCTTCTATTTTGGAAGTTGTTGACTTTTTTTTCGCCCAGAAATAAAAATTTCCGAAATGTTTACCATGGTCCCTAATACCGTCCGGGAGTCCCATTGGGTGGGTGGAACCATCCAATTTGCCTTTAAACAACCAATTTGCCGGTTTACAACTTGCACCGATTTCATGAACTCAAGTCTACCACGAACATTTATGACAACAAATAATGATCATATATGGTTCCAAACAACTTATATGAACCCGAGATGTATCCTCTAAAATTTCAAGACTTTTGGACACCGGGCCCCTAAACTTCCAAAAATTCTCAAAATGCGTGGATATTAGTCTTCTATTTTGGAAGTTTTTGAATTTTTTTTCGCCCGAAAATTAAAATTGCCGAAATGTTTTTCATGGTCCCTAATATCCTCTGGGAGTCCAATTGGGTTGGTGGAACCATCCAATTTGCCTTTAAACGACCAATTTAAATACCGGTTTACAACTTGCACGGATTTCATTAAATCAAGCCTACTACGAACATTTATGACATCATATAATGATCTTATATGGTTCCAAATGACATTATATTACACCGAAATAATGTATCCCCTAAAATATTAAATGACCAATTTACCGGTTTTAACTTGCACCGATTTCATTAACTCAAGCTTACCACGAACTTTTATGACAACAAATAATAATCACATATGGTTCCAAACGGCATTATATGACCCGACTCGAACCCGAGAATTACCCTAACCCGTTTTAACCTTTGAAAACCTGAATTAAACCCGACCTATTGTTCACCCGACTCCAATGTAACCCGATCTGTTATTAACCCGACCCAAACTCGATAAGAAGTATGGCCCGACGTGCCCTGACTCAAGCATGACCCAACCCAAACCCGCCCCCGCATAGGTTATGGAATTAATCTGAATTGAACCGACCTGTTTACCCGAATTGACAGTTATATTTAACACTTCACGTTATTTGAGAAAGTTATTAGAAAATGTAAACAACTAGAATTTGTTATAAGGAGTAAAATCTTTAATCATAACAACTTTAGCACTAATTTTTTTATCGTGGTAAAAATATTTTAATTAATTAATATTAATCTAATCTAATATTTTCGTCAATGTGCAGGACAAAGTAATGTGTGACAACTAAATAATACTTCCTACAAAGTCCATTGTAAAAAAAATCGTATATAAATGTTGCTCCGTGTATTGACTGTATTCCCATGATTCGGTGATCTCCCATAATGTATATTTGTTAGTATATATATAAATAATTCTTCAATCAGTTAGCAAAAAAGTTTCCTTAAAAAGAACTTATCAAGAAAAACATGCTGTATAAAAGTGATACGAAGTAATATAAAGCAAGCATTCTTTATTTATAAAAGTACTAGATGTATGTATCCAGTGGCGGACCCAGGAATTTCCGACTGGTGAGTCACAATCGATAATCAAATATGTAAAATAAAATTTCACAATGACATGTAAGGAGACATTTACTTCCTAAACTTGAAAATAAACAACACGATTGGAGACCAAATTAACTACAACGGATGTAGCCTAAATACATATCAGTCCGCAACATGTTTTACAGGATGATCAATACTCTATATATCGATAATTCTATAAGAAAAACACTTCTCGGGCCAGGCCGAGTTGGGCCAAAATTCGAACCGGTGTCCAAATCCGCCCAAAATGGCTAGACTGTGTGGGCTTTTCGGGCCATTTTTGGCCAGACAAAAAAAAACAACTAAAAATGCGTAAAAACACATTCCCAAATCCGCCAAAAAAAAAATCGAGCCAAAGAAATATGTCTAAATTCCGCCCAAAATCAGGCCGGGCTAAGTTTGATCGGGTTTATTTTCATTATCATTTAGAAATAAATAGAGAGAATAATAATAGAATACGTGCCAATTAATTTAAACGATGTAATAGTACAAACCTTGTTAAGTTTGCCAGAGACTTGAGCAGTTTTGTCCCAAGCCAAGAGCCATCCAAGCTGAGGAAGAGCCCTATCATAGTGACCATATATCACAACACCCTTAGAACCTACAACCACAGGGAGGTTTCCTTGCCAAGCCGCGCCCTCGTGCACGAACGCAGCTTTACCCTCACTCATTGTCTCGGAAGGTTTGGCTATGAAATTTCCTGTCCAGCTATAGGTTTTGTTAAGCCTTAAAGCGCGAGACTGGCTATTCTTCATAACTCCTGTCACTAATACCAGCTGATCTTGGCTTGTCATGTTGTTTTCTAGGACAGATTGCGCCTCCTTCATCGCCTCTTCGATTATTGCTCTCTCTTTGTTTGATAGTTCATTCGCCATGCCACCAACTTGTTGCACCGCGGAAGCCATTGTTAAATTAATTACCTTCCTTAGCTAGCTGCTGCTTTGTTCCAAAAGTACGCATTAAATTACCAAGTAAAATGGCCATATATAACACTCTATAAAAATTAAAAAAATATACACTCAGTGCAAGGTGCACTCAAGGGTATTTTCTGCTCATTTAATTTTATTTTTTTGTTCATCATATATCTTAAAATGAGCATTAAATTAAAAAATAAAATGAGCAAAAACTACATTTGCGTGCACCTATAACCTTTGTGTGCATTCGAGTAATCGAGTGCACGTATGTAAAAGGTGTTCCTAATTCGTATATATAGTGTAGTTCATGCATATATACTAGAAGAAAAAAGAAAAAAAAAAAAAAATGCATACATACCTTAAGTCTTGTAATTGATAAATAAATGCTTATGCTTTGCAATGAAATACACTTTGTGCCAATAATGGTGAATTTATAGTGGAAACGAGGAAAAGGTTGCGTACTCATGCATTCGGAGATCGAGATAAAACCCATAATACTATTGTCATGTAGAAAATAAAATAAACAATAAAATCAAAATGATAAAAAGAATAAGAATAACTTTTTAAAATGAAAAATTAAATATTGATTAAAAAAAAAAATTCATGCATGTCATATTGACATATAGACATATAGTATGAAATTATTAAAAGATAGTAAGATACTAGTATAGTTGTATTCGAAAGCATAAATTATTGGCGTTATGTATGGTTTTTTATTGAACATCAAATGCCTTAGGTTAAACTTTTTTTTTCTTTAAAAAAAAAAAAAAAAAAAAAAAAAAAAAAAAAAAAAAAAAAAAAACATGCCTTAGCTTAAACTTGAAATATACTATTAGCTAGGGCCATTTATATATACTACTTCCGATTCTTTTTAGTAGCAACTTTGGAGTATTATTTGAGATATATAGAGTATAAAATATTCCAAAGTTGCAACTAAAAAAAAAAATGAAGGTAGAAAGGAGAATAAATAAATTGATATCGATCATCCATATATTCATATACATATTTTTTTTTCCTCTAAAACATCATATTCTTGTATGAAGATCTAATATTGGGAAAAAAAAAAGATAAGGGGAGGGAATTCTTTTCCAAATAATTCTTTTAGGGAAATTCCCATTAGTACACCTGTGGTTTTGACTTTTCCCATTGATAGACTCCAAAATATTTGCCTTCCCATCGGTACACCCTGGTTTGGTCTTTTTCCCAACCGTGACAAACACCGTTAAAAAGTATTTCATTAAGTTAAAATAATTAAGAAAAAGATTATAATACCCCTTTTAAACATCTAATGTCTCGATTTGCGTGTCGAAAATTGTTCGGTTTAAAGTTTTGGGAGTCCTAGTCGTTAAGGATCCAAATTAACCTCAAAATTAGCAAAAAAAAAATAACGCAAATGTCTCATATGCGTGTCAAAAAAGTCTCGATTTGCGTGCCATTACTTTTTTGTGATAATAATTGTTCGGTTAAGGTTTTAGGAATCATTTTGACCCTTTATGGATCTAAATCGAACTCGAAATTGTCAAAAAAAATTAACAAAAATATCTCTTTTGCATGTCATGATATTTCTTTTTTGTTTTGTCATGAGACACAAAACGAGACATTTTCGTTAATTATTTGACAATTTCGAGTTCGATTTAGATCCTTAGAGGATCAAAATGACCCCTAAAACATAAACCGAACAATTACTATCACAAAAAATAATAGCACGCAAATCGAGACATTTTTTAACATGCACATGAGACATTTGCGTTATTTTTTTTGCTAATTTCGAGGTTTGGATCCTTAAGGGCTAACATGACTTCCAAATCTTTAACCGACCGATACGCAAATCGAGACATTAGATATTTAAAAGGGGTATTATAGTCTTTTTCTTAATTATTTTAACTTAATGAAATACTTTTTAACGGTGTTAGTCACTGTTGGGAAAAAGACTAAACCATGGGTGTACCGATGGGAAGACAAAAATTTTGGAGTGTATCAATGGGAAAAGTCAAAACCACGGGTGTACCAATGGGAATTTGCCATTCTTTTATTCTCAAGGATTCGATGTTCTTGTATGCATGATTTTGACAACTTACTGTGCAATTATACATCACTTACAGGCTTACAGTTTACGAGTGAAAATTGCTCCACACTATGCTAGAACAAATGCAAGATAAAAATTTAGTCTACTGATAAGAACGTATACCAATATTTTTCATGGTTCGCTAACAATGGAAAAACATTAAATTCAAAGCAGAGATAAAAAATGTTGAACTTCTAGGGCAGTAAATACTTAATTTTCTCCAAGTAACTGTGTACTGCTGCCTGCGGGTGTTTACAGGGTAAAAACTAAACAGCTTCAGTTGCCACGTAAAGGTGAACGACTTCACGCTACGGAGACTGAACGCTGAAGGATGACATGATACGAAGTATATACAATAGGCCAACAGAGTAACATGAAAGGCTGTGTTTGACATCTATCGATTATATTCATCATTGTGCCAATTGCATTAATTTTCATTCATCATTGGCCCTGAATTGTAGTTCATCGTTTTCTACTTAATGTCTTGAGCGTGATTGACGATTGTTGCTCAATAAGGTAATCTCTTTGAGTTTTCTGTCATTATTGTAATCAGAAACATATACAATGTACAACATGATAATAAGCCTTACTTCCAGGGACAGTTACAATATCTTCTAGCATGATTCCAGGACTGATTAGTATATTGTTGCCTAGAATCAAGGCAAAATTATTAATTATCATGTTTCTGATTACTTTTAGGAGAAAACTAAAGGAATCACCTTTTTCAATGACAATTCAAGCTGATCAAAGCGTAAAGCAAATTGCAGAAATTGAACATTATTAACAACATACAAAACATAATGATTATGAAAGCAAGCTACTGAGAAACAAAAAAAAATACACAATATTTGGTACCATAATAATATAGATTGACAAATGGAACAGAGTTCAGAACAATATTCAATCCATGAATCATCATTGAATTAAAAGGGTGCAACGTTACAGCTTATTTAGAAAGAGTGATTGTATAGATATCATTCACTCAAACAGGTATTAGCAGGCGCAATATTCCCAAAAGCAACCGAGTACATTCATCAGAGACCTGTAAGAGGAAAACTTCAATAAAATTACAGAAACAGAAGTTTAGATCAGTTTGGAGCTATGACTAGCACAGGAAAGAACTCAGGTGATATACGAATCCAACCGGAAGAAGAAAAAAAATACATGTAGTCAAGTACTAAGGTCTAGGGAAGGCTTTAACTATGCCAAAACCAAGTGATGGCAGGACAAATTATTAGTTCAGACATAAGAAGACTGACGATATCAGTATCTTGCAGGATTTAACACCCCTCTCAAATTATAAACTTTACATCAGTTAAAAACTAGACAATACAGAATGATCCATGACTCATTGCAGATTTTTTTAAATCAGAAGCCAACCCTTCTAGTCCCTAATCCATAAAATAGAAAATGGCATGTCAGCGGCTTCTTCTGAGTTCTGAAAAACTAGTGCAAAACAACTCAGTTTCAAACAAAAAATTTAAAAACGATCACAAACAACATGCAATGTAGCATAAATGAATTACTCATATATACCTTTATCTTTTTAGACTTAAGCATAAAATGAAAATTCCAGAAGACAACATATATATATAGACATAAAGCATTATATTACAGCAGGGGGATTCTCAATCATGAAATAAGATTCAAATCACGGGGGCAGTTACCCTTGTAAGATGAAGCATATAGAACAATAGGATCGAGTACATACCTAGGCAATCTAGCTGCTGGAAACCTCTGCTGGGGCATCAGCATCGCCCACATACTTAAAATCCTGCAGTTCCTTGAAGTTCAACCATGGCTTAACCCACACTTTTGCTTCATAAACCTTCTTTTTGTCATTATCAGTTGCCTCAAGAGTAATATAGTACAGAGTACCAGCAACAACCTGTTCCTTAGTGTTTATGACCCTCTGAAATTCGAGCAAAGCATTCTGCGGAAAAATAATACAAATTGTCAATTATCTTGAATATGATGCCACCCCAAAATTGTCCTAACAAATTTACTCTACATCTGATTCAAGTTCAACCCACAGGTTTAAGAATCATGAGAACACAAACTAATTAATCCTACCATCTCCAAACCATTCATCTAAAATACAATAACCAAAAAAGCATTTTGTATAGAACTTTCAATATTATCACTCAGAATTCAATTCTAACAAGTTCCAACTGTATAGTATAACATAATCAAATCCAAATAAAGCAAATCCATATACGGGCGTATCACAGGAGGGGTGGGATGGGGATCGAACACAAGTCACTCCTGTGGGAGATGGAGCGACAAACCGCCCCTCCACTCCGTGATCCTCTTTATATTTCAATATATGAACTAATCAACTAACTGTCTATATGCTCAGCACAGTGCACACCCTAAAAGTCAAAAGTATCTTAAAAGACAGATTTACCCCCGATCAAAAATCCACCAATAAAATCAACAAACCACTTATTTAACAATCAACGAACAAGATCACCAATCAATTGTAAGTTGTTAGTTTGTTACTCATAAGTCAATGACTTTTTTTTATATATATATAAAGTATAATCTCAATGACTCATAAATTGACATTTACCTTTTTTTTCGTGAAAACATCTACCTCAATTAAAATTGGAATAAAATTCAATAAATACAGAGTAAATTTACAAAATTTTAAATCAAAATTAAAGTTAGAACAAAGGCAATATAATATCTATACAGTATATAGTATACACAAAAGTTACAATTGAAACCATTAAATTTCGCATAAACGCACAATCTGAGTATAATTATGATGCAAAAATCGACATCTTAAACAAAATTTCAAATATAAATACTGCATAAAAAAAGGAATAATAACATAATATCAAAAAATTGCTTAAAAATTAAACATAATACTGTATGAATTTAAAAGAAAGAGAAACAAACTTCTTTTTTGTTGTGTTCATCAACAGCAAATTTAGCAAGGGTTTCGATTTCCAAACTGTTCTCTGATCCCTCAGTCTGCTTGATACCTCCAACAATCGGCTCGGTCGACATTTTTTTGATATACGAGTAAATATTTTTTTTTTTTCTCTCTCTTAAAAATGCAAAGTTTTGGGTAAGGCTATGAAATTATTGTATTTACGATATTTATAAAAGAAAAGAAAATCACGGGTTACTTTGACTTTTCGAATAGGGGATTACTAGAGGGATAAGTTCGTATTTTCCGTGTCATACATCAGATAATTATTTTTCCCAAACGAACATTCCTAGGTTCAGCACTTTACTTAACTACTAATCCTTCTTTTAAACAACAATTTAAAACCCTCAAGTAGAGTAATTATGAGGTATAACATTGAGTTTATTTCAACTTCAGTTGAATTTTAGTTCAGCTCCTTATTTCCTTCTCTCATAAAAGATATTTTGTTCAGTTCAGAATATGTGAACAAGCCCTAATTATTTGGTCATTGTCTTATTTGTCTTGTTGCATTTTTACACATGTAACATATTACTCAAGTCTCCAACTTGTCAATATGGTCCATATTATATGGACATATGGTTGAGAACAGTGGCGGACCCAGGAATTTCCGACTGGTGAGTCACAATCGATAATCAAGTATCTAAAAAAAAAAATTTACCGAACAACCAAATAATAGTACTAAAAAATACATCCAAATATTCAAAACAGTACAAAATACAACCAAATGTTCATATAATACTACAAACGACAACTAAATAGTAATGCAAACTTATTACAAATTACAATAGTTCTCGACGAGTTTTCATGTTTTGATATCGATTCATGATATCTTCCATGCTAACATTCAAAAACAAATCATTCTCCAAATAAGTAATTAAACAATCATTCAACATTTGATCTCCCATGCTATTTCGTAGTTTGTCTTTCACTTGCTTCATGCCAGAAAATACCCTTTCCACACTTGCCGTTGCGACAGGAAGAAGCAACACCAACTTCAAAAGTAAATAGACCCTATCATGAGTTTCAGACAATCCCGTTTCAACCAATTTGATTGAAAGCTCACTAAGACCCTTCAAATTCCAAAACCTGTTATCTCCTCTAACAGAACAAATGTAACTCTCAAGTGTATGACCAAAGACTATCAATTCTGAACTTGGAAATTCATTAGGATAGAATTTTGCAAGCTTAATCAATTTTTCCTTGTCAAACTTAGAAAAACGATCCACAGGACTCAAACAAGACATACACACAAGTAGTTCTTTAGTTATTTCGGGAAATCGATTTTCAAGTTCTTGCAATTGAAGATCAATGACACCAAAAAAAACTTCAACTCGAAAATGATGTAAATTAGACACTTGTGGGCATTTACCTCGAAACAACCTCCTCCCGGGAACAACATATTTAGCCTCCATATCTGGAACTGCAATGTCATAGTCACCAATAAAAGAAATGACCTGTTCCATATGAGAATCCCATCCTTCATCTCTCATTTTTTGCAAATTAGTCTTGGTTACATTAACCATGGCCATTGCATTCACAATGTCTTGATCGTGCTTTTGTAAGGCCACATTCAAAGCATTTGTTATCGCAAATATACTAACCATCAAGTGTGCCACAAACACAAAATCAAAGGACATCAGAAGATTTGTAAGTGTTTGAGCTCTATTAGAATCTATTGTATCAGATACTTTTGCAATATCCTCAAGAGAACCAAGGATTACAGGGAATAAGTCAAGTACATTCAAGATTGTCTTGAAGTGAGATCCCCAACGAGTATCACAAGGTCTACCTAATCCACGTTCTTGATTTAAACCTGAACCCGTTTCAAGTTCACCTAGAGACAAAGCATCCACCACTCTTTGAGCTTGATTTTCACGAAGAAACTCTTTCCTTTTTGGTGAACCCCCCACAAAGTTCAACAGAGGTGCAAGTACATCAACAAATAACCAAGCACAATCTGAATTCTTTTTAGCAAGTGCAACTTGAGTCAATTGAAGTTGGTGAGCAAAGCAGTGGACAAAATAAGCTTCTTTACACTCATTCTCTATAAGAGTCCTAAGGCCATTAATAGAACCTTGCATATTACTTGCCCCATCATAACCCTGACCCCGTACTTGAGAGAAAGACAAAGAATGCTCCATTAATAAGGATTCAATAGCAGTTTTGAGAGTCAAAGAAGCAGTGTTTACAACATGCACAATACCAAGTAAACGCTCACACACTTCTCCCTTTCTATTAACATATCTCAAACAAAGAGCCAATTGTTCCTTGTCAGAAACATCAGCGGACTCATCAGCAAGGATAGAAAACAAACCACCATCAATATCTTCAAGCATTGCTTTAGTTGTCTCTTTTGCACATGCATTTATGATATCTTTTTGGACTTTTGGAGAAGTAAGTTGACAATTACTAGGAGCATTTTTGAAAACAACTTTAGAATATTCAGGGTTACCTTTGGAAATAAGGGATAAAAGTGAAAGAAAGTTACCTCTTCTTAAGGAACTTTCTTTTTCATCATGACCACGAAAAGGCAACCCTTGGAGTAAAAGCCATTGGATTGATTCAATTGAAGCTTCAAGTCGCATCCTATATGCATTTGTACTCTCAGCGGTTTGTTTTGTCAAGGCTTGTGTGATGCTTGACTTTTGCTTCTTGAACAAATCCATAGCTAACACTGCATTATTATGTGCACTCGTGTGCTTACCCACATGTTTTCTTATTAAATCCGATCGATTCCATGATTTGAAACCATCACTAACAAAAGCATCACCTCCAAATGCATTTTCATCCTTGAATAGATAACAAGGGAAACAATAGGCAGCATCCTTTTCCACACTATACTCAAGCCAAGTCCAAGTATCAAACCACTTAGCACAAAAGCGACGGTTTTTGCCAAAAATAGAAGTTTGAGGAAATATAAAGTCTTTGGGCTGACAAGGCTTTCTTTGAATGTAAATTCTTCTCACTAAATCTCTATCATCTTTATGAAATTGACTCATCTTTCTCCTCTTTCCTGGATCTTGTGGAAGATTAGCAAATTCATGTTCACTTAATCTTTCACCAAAGATTGGGGCATTAGGAGAATATTGGCCTTGTTCATTTTGAGGGGAATTTTGAGTGGAATAATTAGATGGAGATGAATGTTGTTCACTTTCTTGAGGTGGACATATAGTTTGTTCACTCTGTTGAGGTGGAGATATAGTTTGTTCATTTTGTGTGGGATGTGGAAGAGAAGTTGAAGTAGGATTCTTTTTAGCAAAGAAGCTAGTAATGTTTTGCAGTTCATTTGGAGTGCGTTTTCTCTTCATTCTGAAATTTGAATAAATAATCAACTAAAGCAAGCAAAATTCCCCAGAAAAATTATTTACAAAGATCATTTTACCAAACAAACCACAATTCACATAATCACATATTCACATGGTCAAAAAGGTTCAAATTTCATCTAAAACCCAACAACATTATTACATTAAGGTCATTACTCATTAACAAAAGGTTCAAAGTTTACCAAACAAACAAGTGATTGAAGACTTCAAGTGAACAACTAACAAATCAACCAAAGTTTAATAGAATTAACTAATTAGACTTGATTAAATTGAAGATTAGAATTTTAAACTAAAAATTAGAAATCAACTTACTAGCAAAATGAGAATAGGAGATTAGACTTTAGAAGAAGCGACGAAGCGAAGAGCGGTGAGCGCAGAGCACGCTCTCGACTCTCGAGCAGTGGAGCAGGGCAGCAGGCGACTGCCGACTAGGCGAGCAGCAGGCCAGCAGGCAGTATCACAGCTTGAACAATTAACAAATTCACCATTTCACAGCTTGAAATCACAAGCTCACAGGGCAGCAGGCCAGCATCACAGCATCACAGCTTGAACAAGTATGTAAAGTGTCAATTGTCAAACATTTCACAAATTCACCATTCAGAATTTCATTGAACAATTCACAAAATCACAACAATTAGGGATTATTGAAATTGAGTTGATTATTGAACAATTGAGTTGATTATTGAACAATTAGGGATTTAGGGTTCAAAGAATCAAATTTAGTATTACTAATTCATAACTAACAAGTAATATCAATTATCAACAATTAAACAAATTTAGATGAAGACTAAGTTAATTAATTAATTTATGCGAAGAGGAACTGAGGAAGACGAAGAGGAACTAAAGTGTCAAACATTTCACAAATTCACCATTCAGAATTTCATTGAACAATTCACAAAATCACAACAATATATAACAAAATTAACAATTAACAATAATCAGTACTCAGTAGGCGTCTAGGCAGCGTCTAGGGCCACTGGGCGTCTAGCGATTAGCGAAGCAATCAAGCAATTATCAAGACAATCAAGTTATCAAGTTATCAACAATTAAACAAATTTAGATGAAGACTAACTGAGGAAGACGAAGAGGAAGACTAACCTCACCTGAATTTATGCGAAGAGGAAGACGAAGGGTCGAAGGCACGAACTGCGAGTCTGCGAAGAGGAACTGACTAACTGAGGAGTGAGGAAGATGCTTACTTGCGAAGTTGCGAGTTGCGAACTGCGAAGAGGAGGACTGGAGGAGGCGATTATGGAGGTGAATAGGTGATTGATGATGGCGAAGGATTGAAGCCTTGAAGGGAATTAGGGAAGAGGCGAATTGGCTAGGGCATGAAGGATTGAAGGCCATGAACTGAAATACTGAATTCGTGAATTTGGGAAAACTGATTTTTTTTTTTTTTTTTTTTTTTTTAAAAAAAATTAACTTAAAATTTTTTTTGGGCCTGGTGAGTCACTTGACCCACCAGGTCTAAGCCCAAGTCCGCCACTGGTTGAGAAGAAGACGCATGTCTACAACAGTACGATGAATTTTATTTCATGAAATTTTTATTTAAGCCGATAGACATGACGTTGTTGTCTTAAATATAGATGTTTTTGTCTTGTACAATCCTCATAAGAAAGCCTTTGTGGAGAGCAATGCTTCATCAATAAAAAATTTTAGGCCTTATTTGGTTGACACGGAAAAATGGAATGAGATTCTAGTGTGGAGATCCAACAGAGTGGAAGATATCATGGAGAATTATAGTGCTCATATAATTGTGTAAAATATGTGGGATGAAAGAAAAGTTGTAGTTGATTGTTACAAAAAAAATTGTAATTTGTTGCTAAAAAAAAAAGAAATTGTAATTAAAAATTAAGATTGAATCTTGATTATTATGTTTACTTTTATGATTTTCGATACATAAAAACAAAGTACGCGCGTTGTACTTTTTGTATAGGTGTAGAAAAAATAGGTTTAAGGTGATTAGACTAAGGGCCTGTTCCGATTGACTAAACTGAACTGAACTGAATTGAACTGAACTGAACCGAGCTGAACTGAACTGAACTGAACTTATTAATTAGTGATTTTTAACTACGGATTAGTGATCTTTGATTATTTATTGATTATTTATTGATATTTATTACTATACATATGTGTATATACAAATGTACATATTAAAATATTTACGAAAAATATACTATATAATTATAATTATAAAATGTATGGAAAATATATTATAAAATGTATGGAAAATATATTAAAAACTTGAAACCTCTAATTTTCTCAATGAGATTAACATTAGAAATATGTTTCAAAAAAATAGAACCATTTGAACAATGAATTGTATCAATATTATTATTGTTATTATTATTATTATTAATTATTGATAATTATTATTATTATTTATTGATTATTATTATTAGTATTATTATAGTATTATTATTATTATTATTGTTATTATTATTATTATTTATTGATGATTATTATTATTTATTGATTATTATTGTTAGTATTATTATTATTATTATTTCAATTATTATTGTTATTATTATTATTATTGTTAATATTATTATTACTATTATTATTATTTTTATATACTATTTATTATTATTATTTTTGTTGTTGTTGTCGTTGTAATAAGATCTTAAAAGAATGAAATTTGGCTTTATATCATTAGCAATATCATTAGACATAAATTAAGAGCTAAGCTGAACTGAACTGAACTGAACTAAATTTCAACGGAACAGAACAGGCCCTAATTATCTAACATAATGTTGTAATAGCATCATAACAAACTTTTTACGTGATAAATGTTATGCTTCTACGAGACTACAATTCTACTTGTCTTCTTAGGTGCTCATCTACTCAAAATTGACCATGACCTCCTTTGATTCAAATTAGAACACGAGTTCATAAAAGTAGTTAAACCTAGCTAGAGTAATTACGAGGTATAACATTCAGTTCATTTCACTTCAACCGAATTTCAGTTCAGTTCCTAATTTCCTTCTCTCATAAAATATTCAGTTCTGTTCAGAAAATGTGAACAAGTTCTAAGTATTTAGTCATTGTCTTACAACCTCTGCTTCGCATTACTCGCAACAAACGAATATTTTATATCTCATAAATAATACCCGTTTGTTGCGAGTAATGCGAAGCGGAGGTAGTATTTGTCTTGTTGCATTTTTACACATGTGACATATTACTCCAAGTCTCCAACTTGTCAATATGAACATATGGTTGAGAAGAAGACGCATGTCTACAATAGTACGATGAATTTCGTTTCATGAAATTTTTATTTAAGCCGATAGACATGACGTTGATGTCTTAAATATAGATGTTTTTGTCTTGTACAATCCTCAGAAAAAAGTCCTTGTGGAGAGCAATGCTTCATCAGTGAAATTTTTTAGGCCTTATTTGATTGACACGGAAAATAGATTCCCTCGGAAGTTGTATTTTATGAAAAGTTATTTCCCTCGTAAAATTCTTAAGAATTTCACAAAGTTTTTTGGTTATGACAACGAGAAGTTGAATTCCCATGAATTTTGATTGACCACGAGAACATAGGTAATTTAACTACCTATGTTTTGTGGGAAGTTGAAATTCGCATGAATTACTTCCTCCATTTTTGTTTTTTGTGTCAACCAAACAAGTATTCAACTTGTCAATTTTCATGATTTTTCACTGCCCTCATTAAAATTTAGTAACCCAAATAAACTCTCAGTGTTACCAATATTAAAAATAGAAATGTGTTTAAAGGTTGTTTGTACTATATCTTAAATGATGATTTCCATAGCTATTGAATTCGATTGAAAAAATCATTAAAATTTTGTTTAGAGTAATTTGTGGGTGGTGCCTCTCAAATAACCATGATGGAGTTTGTTAGTAAAGTGGAATGAGATTCTAGTGTGGAGATCCAACAGAGTGGAAGATATCATTGAGAATTATAGTGCTCATATAATTGTACGTGTAAAATATGTGGGATAAAAGAAAAGTTGTAGTTGATTGTTACAAAGAAATTGTAATTAAAAATTAAGATTGAATCTTGATTATTATATTTACTTTTATGATTTTCAATACATAAAAACAAAGTACGTTGTACTTTTTCGGAGCGTTTGGTAACAGGGATAGTGATAATTAGGATAAGAAGGTAAGATAAGGATAGAGAATTAATATGTGGGATAAGGATAAAAAATTATGTTAACCATTGTTTGGTAAGATTTGGGAATTAAATTGGGATAAGTAATAAAATTACATAACTATCCTTACTAACATTTCTCCTTTCCCCTCTTCCTTCCCTTTCATTAAGGGTAAATTTGTCTTTTAAATTTCAAAATTAATCCCTACACCTTATACCTGCCCCCATGTCACAAAAATAGAGGAATAACAATTTTGAAACAGTATGAAATGGGTCTGGGCAAACCGAACAAGGAGGAGGAGAGTTTGGTCCACAAACAAGGTTTTGGAGCTTTCATACTAAAACAAATTGGTAATAGTAGGAGTAACTCCTCTACCTTATAAAGTGGAACCACGTCTCCTCTTTCTTCAATGTGGAACACTCACAAGTGGGATACAATGGGTTTCAACACTCCCCCTCACTTGTGAGTGTCCTTAGAACTTAGAGCACACCAGAAGGTACAATATAAAACTTCTTTGGGATTGAACATCCAATAGAGGCTCCTTAACCAGTGGCTTGACAAATGCCCAGTTATAAACGGCCCAACAAGCCTGGGCTCTGATACCATGATAAATTTTGAAACAATATAAAATGGGTCTGGGCAACCCGAACAAGGAAGAGGAGAGTTTGGTCCACAAACAAGGCTTTGGAGCTTCCATACTAAAACCAATTGACAATAGTAGGAGTAACTCCTCTACCTTATAAAGTGGAACCACATCTCCTCTTTTTCCAATGTGAGGCACTCACAAGTGGGCTATAATGGGTTTCAACAAAATAGAACAATTCCCATTAAACAAACAAGGGATTATATAGGATACAACATACAAGGGATTATTAATCCCTATCCCTCCTACAATCCCTACAAACAAACACCCTCTTTGTGTAGGTGTATAAATAGGTTTAAGGTGATTAGACTAATTATCTAACATAATGTTGTAATAGCATCATAACAAACTTTTTACGTGATAAATGTTATGCTTCTACAAGACTACAATTCTACTTGTCTTCTTAGTTGCTCATCTACTCAAAATTGACCATGACCTCCTTTGATTCGAATTAGAATACGAGTTCATAAAAGTAGCTAAACCTAACGTGAAATTAACCGATTAGACAAGTTGACCCAAAAGTTTGATAACCATCCTATAACAAGGAAATCCAATTCAATATGAACCTAAATATCTAACTAGAGCTGTCAATGCGGGTAAACAGGTCGAGTAAGAGTGGGTCGGGTCAATTCGGGTCAGGTCAATTCGGATTAATTCCATAACCCATTCGGGTCGGGTTTGGGATGGGTCATGCTTGAGTTGAGTCACGTCGGGTCATACTTCTTATCGGATTTTGGTTGGGTTTAGATCGGGTTAATAACATGTCGAGTTACATTCGGGTCGGGTGAATAATAAATCAGTTAAATTCGGATTTTCACGGGTTAAAATGGGTTAGGGTAATTCTTGGGTTCGAGTCGGGTTTGGTTCAAGTCAATAATTTGCGGGTTAGAATCAGGTCGGATCATTCTCGAGTTTGAGTCGGGTTCGGTTCAAGTCAATAATTTGCGGGTTATAATCAGGTCGGGTCAATAACAAGTCGTGTTAATTTCGAGTCGGGTTAGTAACATATCGAGTTGAATTTTTGGGTCGGGTAAATAATAAGTCGGGTGAAATTTGGGTCGGGTTAATAACAAATCGGGTTGAATCTGGGTTAGGTCAATAACAAGTCGAGTTGATTTCGGGTTGGGTTTGTAATAGATTGGGTTAAATTCGGGTCAGGTTAGGAACAGGTCGAGCTGAATTCAATTCAAGTTAGTAACAAGTCGAGTTAAATTCGGGTTTTGACGGGTTAAAACGGGTTAAGGTCAATTTCGGTCAAGTCGGGTTCAGTGCAAGTTAATTAAAATGGTCGTTGTAAACCGGTAAATCAGTGCAAATCGTAAACCAGTAAA